GAAAGCCAGCACGGTATGGTAAAAAAAATATTACATTTTGTTTCAATGTGAAAACCTGTACTCATATTACATTTTGTTTCAATGTGAAAACCTGTACTCAAGTTTAACTAATTACTGTGAAAAAATGTACAAGACTGAAACGGCAAATAATCCTGAAAAGTAGCCTGCTCAATGCTCTTTTAAAAATATTATTTTTTATTTTTAATGTTTCGCAACTATTACAACTTCAATGAGAAAGTGAGAATTATTCATTTTCTAGTAAAAAGGACCAACAAGTGTTATACTATTGAACATTAAATAGCTAGTTTTCAAGGTCATTTGCTAGTACACTTTTTCAACAATAAATTAGTCAAATTTTAGTAAAGGTTTTCGCATTGAAAACAAATGTAATAAATTAGTTTCTTCAGCATACCGTGTTAGTTTTTAACGAAATGGAAAGTCTGCTGTCTCAACCAGCTATTAATGATAGCACGGGAAATAAATCATAAGCTAGAAGTTCTTTACAGCCATAACAGGCATAAAAGGAGCAAAAAGTAGAGATTTTTTGAAAAGTGGCAATACCTCGAAAACTGGAAAACTTTTAACAAGCTCATGTCGATTTTGTCTGATTGATCTGTCACTATACCGTGTTATTTCTGGGACACCCTGTATAATGGTTGTAATAAAATCATTGTTCTATGCTGGTCCTTTTAATTTTGAAGTTGTTTGGATCCGGAAGGTCATTCTTCCTAAGCTCTGACTTCATTTAGAGAGATAATTAATCAGTGCTGGACTGGTGGCTTTTCTTTATAGTGCCGTTAAGAGGTGATGACAATTTTACTGGAATCCTATTTAATTAAACTTCGGAATTAACGGAAATTCTCATTAAGTGAGATACTCATCACGTGCTTGGGAGAACTTATTTTATATTTATACTAAGAAATCTATTTCTGTCGGTGAATGATTTTGTGTCACATTGTTTTGAAAATAACCAACCGACGAAACTACTTAGGACACGTTTATATTGACTTTTTTTACTTATAGAAATAATGATAAATGGGCTGGATTCGTCACAGCATTACAAAATAATAGACTCAATAGCAAGAATAAAAAGTGACGGAAAGGTGGGGTGTCAGCTTACTCTGTTTTTGAACCCGAATTAAAGACATACGAGGAATCTCACTTAAGTTTTGCATATAGAAACATAGTAGGCCACGCGGATCGAACGTCAGTACTGAATCTTAACCTCACTCTTTAGTAAACTTAAATTCAAAGTTTCACAACAATAGTGCAGTGTTCTCACTACAGTGAATTTTTAAGCACATTGTACGACACATGTTGTTTTATGAATCTTAGATTGCAGTAAAATCAGTTATTACTGTTTTTGCATCCGTTTACTCAAATTTGATTCGGAAATATGCCCCTGTAATTACACCATATCAGCAAGTAACACTCTGTATTAGTATTATACGAATTAATACAAAGCACTGATTGTTGTATTACATTGAAATTGAAATAACATCAAACAGTTGCTAATTAACATACAGGTAATAAATACCAAGTTATTTATAGTGTATCGGATTATTTTCGCAGTTAAACGAAATTCTCGAAATGGTACACTGGTGGGGTTCTGGTTCTGAAATTAATGCTATGCTCATTTGCTTTATTTATTCAAATGAACTGAACAACCAATATTAGCTACATTGGAAATACTCGGTTTGCTGGTATAAATTCATAACGTTCAACACGTAAAATAAGTGTTGCGTGAAACTTTTTTAAAACAAAGTTGTAATATAATACCAGTATGCCCTGTCTAGAAAATAAATTTTTTATTTATTTATATGTTTAAGGTTCCCCGGTATATGCAAAAATCGTTACTTTTATGAGATAGATTACGTTTATATAAATTGTTAAATTAAAAAAGAACTAAAGGTTCATGTGATAGCCAATCTACTTACTTATATTTGAAACGCACCCCTAGACGTCTTGCTTTTGTAATCTAACACCATGTGTTACTTTCTGAGACATACTAACTATACTAAGTGACATATAAATCCGAACATCCAGTTTAAATGGTTTTATTTTAATAATAAAAGTTGGTGAATGTATTTATCTTACTGTAAATAACAAGTGAAAAAATTTTCAGGCTTATCAGTTGGACATTCCGGTTTTTATACTGCTTTTTTTAATTCACTAACGCCCTGAAAATGAATATTTCAGCCGCAGTAAAGAATCAACGTTGACGGATTTTGGTTATTGACATCCTTTACGATCGGTTACGATGCCTAGAGTACGGAGACCTGTACGATTTCGTCAACTTAGTGAGTTTGATAGGGGCCGTATAGTGGGACTTCGGGAAGCTGGACTTTCTTTTCGGGCAATTGCAGTTAGAGTGCAAAGAAGTGTAGACACTGTGGTTAGGTGTTGTCAGGCATGGCCTCGAGAAGGCCGTACGCAAAGAGCAAGGAGCACTGGACGCCGCCGTAGAACAACAGACCGTGAAGATCGCCGCCTAAGATTATTGGCCTTAAGAAACCGTTTCTCCACTACCAGGTTCATTGCAAATGAATGGTTTGCAGAACACGGAAGACCTATTGGCATGCGAAGTGTTTACCGACGAATGAGAAGTTTTGGCTTGTTTTCATACCGGCCACACTGGGTCCTCCCTTTAACTCGAGAACACCGACGTAATCGCCTTGAGTGGTGCAGACAACGGTCACTCTGGGATCAGGAATGGAACAGTATTGTCTTTAGTGACGAGTCTCGATTTTGTTTAGGCATGCACGATGGTCGTGCCAGGGTTAGAAGGCGACGTGGTGAAAGGAGGAATCCACTGTTTTTTGTTGAAAGACATGTTCATCACACTGTTGGAGTTATGGTTTGGGGTGCTATAGCTTATGGTTCCAGGTCACCTTTAATCTTCATCAGAGGTAACATGAACGCGCAGCGTTATATCCACTGAGTTCTAGAACCCTATCTTTTACCCTATCTTGACACCCTGGCAGATCCAACTTTCCAACAAGATAATGCCCGACCACATGTTGCAAGAGTCACAATAGACTTCTTTCAACATAATGATGTCATATTGTTACCATGGCCACCAAGATCTCCCGACTTCCCCCAATTGAGCACGTGTGGGATATGATGGGTAGGAGATTGCTCAATTTGCAACGTCCTCCTCAGACTCTAGAAGCACTTCGAGAGGAGTTGGTGGTTGCCTGGAATGAGATACCACAGGAGGACATTGACCACCTGATCAGAAGCATGCCTAGGCGCGTTGGAGAATGCGTAGCACATCAGGGTGCATCCACACATTATTAAAGGTCAAAGGGCTTTAAAGCAGTGCAATCATTTTGAAATCTTTATCATTTACTTATTATCCTTCATTAAGTACTTATACAAAATTTTATTAAAATAAAACCATTTAAACTGGGTGTTCGGATTTATATGTCACTTAGTATATAAGTTACAGCTATAGGAAATGGGCATTGTGATTTTTTGCATTCCTTTGGTATTCCAAACGCTGTCTCGCTTTGACATCACTTATGTTAACAGCATAATTCTTACGATTTGTACGTAGTATTGTGACTTATGACAAATCTAAGTCTCAGTAATATATTAGCTGTACAGATTGCACTTAAAAAGTGATTTATGTTCTGTTCGTTGCTCGATAGTAATTTAAAAAGTGTCTAAAGCTTGACTGATTATGTTCGGGACTGGTGTTGCAATGAAGCACTATGTTAGACGAACGCCTAAATTGGAAATAGACATTTGTGAGATTTGTTTAGCGGTGCGCCTGTAGCCTGTCCAGAAAATGCGTCGATCGATGCTCAAAGTCACTACCATACGTACCGCATCTCTTCCCGCATATGTGTCTATTTATGTTGCCACGTACTTATTTTGGCTTTAAGCTTTAAGCTCTAGAAACCGCTAGTAGAATATTGCACACTTTTTTCGGGACACCCTGACTATATACAAATGTATTATATTTATTATTTAATAAAGACGTTTATTATTATTATTATTATATTCAGGTTAAAAAATCATCTTCTACCAAATCACTTAGAAAATTTTATTGTATTGAACAATGAGTGCTACAATTATTCTACTAGAGCATTGATTCCCAAAGTGGTCTATATCGACCCCTAGGCGTCTATGACAACCTGCAAGGTGTCTACATCAGCGAAAAAAAATTTGGGGGTTCATGAAATGAATATGGGGGTCCACTATAGTGGATCTCAACACATACACTGATAGTACCTATTTACTTACATCATACTATCTTATAATATCAAAACATATACATTATTTATAAAAGTACCTATGAAGTAAAAAATTTATTATATTTTGTTTATAAAATTGTGTAAGTTGTAGGATGTTGGTATTCGCTTTGTGGTCGCAATACATTTTGAACTTGTAAAAACCTGAGAGTCGCAGTCTCAGAGCTTCGCTACCTTGCACTGACTTGTTCAATTCGTCACCCTATAAATACGAATGTGGGACAAATACGTTTATTCGTTTCCTGAATCTTCAAAAGGAAAGTGTTAAGAAAATATTTGAAAAAATATAAACAGATAGTATATCACACAAATTATAGTGAGTCAGTGTTATTTTGTTTGAGAGTGCTGGAGAAAAGTAAGTACATTATTTTTTTTTTAAATTTTAGTTTTGTACTCGTAGTTAGCAAAGATAGATAAATTACGCCAATCATGACTTTAGTTATTAGTAGTTAAATATTCAATCATGCAAAATTACACGAGTACTCCTCAATAGTTTCTTTTTGAAAGTTTTTGCAATCGGTAATATAATTACAGTGCAATCTCCGTATTATGGAATGTTTTCGGAAAAATCAAAAAATATTTTTAATATACAGCTGCTGGATTTTCTGTCTTATTTAAATAATTTAATTTTGCCCACAGATGACTGATGCCATGTCCGAATCTAAAAAGAAATGTAGACAGTACAGTGTTGATTATTTGAAATTTGGCTTCATTCCATCATTGCCGGACAAACAATCGCCTATGTGCCCTTTATGCAACAAAGTTTTAGGCAATGACGCTATGAAACCATCTAAACTGCAAGATCATCTGAGAAGATGCCACCCTGATAAAACAGAGAAAGATTTGAAATACTTTCAAATACTCAAAAATAAATTTCAGAAGAGACCTCCACTGGACAGAATGTTCGCTCGACGTCACAAAGAAATGATGATGGTTTGCGGGCGTCTTACAATATCTCGTTACTTATAGCAAAATCCGGAAAACCGCATACTATCGGAGAGAAGTTAATTTTGCCAGCCGTTGAAGAGGTTTTAAAAACTGTTTTACACAAACCTGCATCTGATATTATTAAAAGAATTCCCTTAAGCAACAATACTGTTGAAAGACGTATTGATGAAATGAGTTCTGATATTGAAAGCTTCTTATGTAATTATTTGCTAAAGACCCATTTCTCTATACAACTTTACCTGATAATGCAGCATTATTATTGGGATATGTTCGTTTTATTATGAATCAAGAAATCTACGAAGAACTGCTCTTCGCATGAACTTTGATAACCGACAATAAAGGTGAATCAATATTTCATGTTTTGAAGGATTACTTCATTGAAAAAGCAATTCCTTTATCAAATATAATATCAGTAGCTACAGATGGAGCACCTGCCATGGTTGGACGTTATCGTTTATTTATAAGCTATTTAAAACAAAATGTGTCAGGGGTGTTAGCAATACATTGCGTCATCCATCGACATCATTTAGTTGCTAAAATTTGAGTGTTTGGATTGCATGAATCACTTCATTTAGTCATTGATGCAGTAAACCGAATCCGAAGCAACGCATTGAATACGCGGTTATTTGCGTAGTTATGTGAAGAAAATGACGAACACTTTCATCAATTACTCCTTCACACTGAAGTACGCTGGCTGTCGAAAGGCTTATGTTTGACAAGATTTTTTGCACTTTTTGAGACTATTTTAGAATTTTTGGATACTAAAGATAAAATTTTAAAAGAAAATTTAATGAAGAGGAAAACAGACATCGCCTTTTTAACAGATTTGTTTACAAAATTTAATATGGTTAATTTGCAATTACAAGGCGACAGTTTAAATTTGATTAAAAGAAAGTCCATCTTATCAGTGTTTCTTGCCAGAGTTAAACTAATGAAGCAAAATATTGGACGGGGCGAATTTTCTCAGTTCCCCAATTTGTCACAGACAAGCTGCCAGGAAGACGGCGTTTCAACTTACGTTCAACATTTAAATGCCCTCTATTCAGATTTTGAATCTAGGTTTGAGGATATTTTGACTATGGTAATACCACCTGGATAATTAATCCATATGGTGACATAGAAGAAACGAATGTCATAATACAAGAGGAACTGACTGAACTAAGTACAAACGAAGAACTTAAGGTTCAGTTTAAAAACGGATATCAGCAATTCTGGCTGCAAAACAACATACCCGTTACTTATCCCGTATTATGGAAAACAGCGAGGAAATTTTTAATTTCCTTTCCATCGTCATACCTAGTGGAAAGGGGGTTCAGCGCTGTTACCAATCTCCTAACGAAAAAAAGAAACAGACTGGACATCATTAGCCGAGGAGATTTAAGATTAACCCTTACAAAATTGACGCCAAATGTTGATAATTTATTATTAAAGCATCAGGTTCATCCTTCTCACTAAAAATATTGACTTATTGCTTATGTTATTTTATTTATAGTTTATTTTATGTTTATTGGTGTCTGACCAATAAATGCCCGCATTGGGAATAAGTGCCCGCATTGATTTTTTTAAAAAAACCCCCTTTATAGAAAATATATTTTTTAAATTATTTTGAAAATTCAAGGATTGGTACACACTAAAATTCGTTCATTTGTTGCCTATTTTTAGATAACGTAAACGTATAAGAAGTGGAATTTAATCAGACTAACAGTGAAATTATTGTAGAACATACGTTTATGTTATAACTGATAAACGAACTCGCTTATTGTACTATTTTAAGTAAAAATGCGGGCACTTATTCTCAATGCGGGCACTTATTGGTCAGACACCTGTTTATTTAATGTTACGTATATTTTACATAACAGATACAAAATTTTGTTTTGAGTAGTTTTAATTTAAATTCAATTAATAAATGTATAAATTAGCATTGTGTTTTTACTTTAAGTTTTTAACACTAAACTTCACTACAGTTAGAAATTTACAGGGAATCAGTATCAGGTAAGTAGGGGGTCTACCCAACACGGAAAAACATGGGTCTACGACACAAAAAAGTTTGGGGAACTCTGTACTAGAGGAAGTATAGACTTTCATTTACCAAACTGCAGTAGCAACATAACGAGCAAGTCAGTATTTTAAAAGGGGTTGTACGAATTCAATAAATTAAGTAATGATATCAAGATGTGTGTCAGTTTGAAAATGTTCAAAGGGAAATTGAAAAAATATCTCATGGAAAACCAGCAGTGAAATTTTGTATAAAAATATTTAGTCTTGAAGACATAATATATTTTATGATATACTGTGTAATATGGATATTATGGACATTCTAGCATTAATGCTAAATAAATCTGAAACAAACAAACAAATGTGCATCTTTTTCTTTTCCTGTTGAAGTTTCATTTTAATCAAACTTTAATAAAAGTTATTATTATTATCATTATTATAAATATATTTATATGGTGTTTAGTACCCTTGACCTTTCATTGTCCATCTAGGTCGTCTGTCCTCATTGAGGTCATTGCCCCGGGCCCCGGTCAACCCCGACCTCACCTGAAAAAACTGCACCACCGCATTCCGTAGATACCATTGAGCTGGAGTCGTTGAGTTTTGATGATGTTCACGCACGACACACTCTCACTTCACATAAAACCGGAGCTATAAATACAATGTGTGTGAAGGTAGGAACCAAAAATAAAATTATCACCACTCCTCGAGAAAAATCACTTTTCCGTCGACGTACTCGCGACAGACTCGATTTTCTTTTTCGATTTGATCCATTGAAGTGTGGTACGCAGACGGAGAACCACCCGTTGAAATCGCACTGAAGCACTACGAGAAAATCACGGTCGAGAGACGGAAGTAGATCGAGTAGGCCATGCCAGAGCGATAAACGCGACTTTTCCGCACTTTCCGTACGTTTCGCACGTGCCGGGAGGCGCTCACGTGTGCGGTGCGGTGATTCTGGAAGGCGAAGCGGTAGGCCCGTGCTCGCTCACGTTTCGCCGCACAACTGAAGTTTCGGCGGTGTCGGGAATTCTGGACTCCCGCAGTCTGGCGGCGTTGCCTGTTGGATACGTTTTTCTCGAGATGTGGAAAATTCGAGTTTTAGCTCATTAGGGGTCGTTCAAGTACTACGTGAGCACTATGAGGGGGCGGGGGGGTCGTTGCTTTGCTTATTTTAGATGACATGGGGGGTAGGGGAGTCTAGATGATGATTATGTCATCGGTAGTTATTTACTTTTTTTACACGAATGGCAACCCTCACATTGTCTTTGCTTGAAAACGAAACGCATTTTCGGGGATTTCCGCAAATAATGCATACGTTTAGTGAACAGCGCGCGGTAATTCCCCTGCTCGCTTTAGAACCGAGTAGGAGAATTACCGCGCGGTGTTCACTTGTCTAAATTTCCTCTATCAGTGTATTGTTTCGTTTGGATACTATAGCGAGAAGACGTATTGAAAGCATAGTAAAGCAAGTTAACATTTGTATTACTATTGATTCCATTTGCCAAAGTTTAATGTTTAAATAAGATGTCGTTTCACATAGACAAATCCAAGTTATACCAAAAATTGTTTGAAAGTTTTAAAAGATCTCATACAAGTACGAAAGTACAAAATGTACAAAAGTTAGTTAACGAAATGTGGCGAAATTACAAATTACAAGCAAAATCCGACAAGGAACTAGATATTATTGTATCTAAGAGAACCGAAGAAGAATTGCAAGCGGCGACTAAGAATAAATCACCAGCAGATGCTGGAGCCCTTGGAGGATGTAAGAGTACGTGGTGGACCTTTACAGTTGTTTATAAGCTATCTCTCAAATCGAAAGCAAGTAGTGTTGTGACAGTGAGTTGAATTTCAAATTTACCGCCGGGTCTGTCAAGTGTGTTAGTGACAGGTGACAGTAGGTATACCCTATTTCACGAGTATCCGTCACGCTTTGACGTTTACCGAGGTGAACAGCTGATCAGCAAGTGACACTTTTGTGTTAGTCTGCAACGTTATCAATAATGAAACTGGCATAAATCCAGTAAGACTTGTTTGTGGCGTTTTGTTTTTTGTATGCAAATGAAGTTTTCTTAATAAAAGTACAAAATGATCTGTATCGTACAAAAAAATAAAACAAAATACGGCTCTGACTACCTGGCGTTGACGGATCTGTCAAAGTTATTTATTTTATTTATTTATTTGTTTATTTATTTATTTACACCACCAACAGATAAACCAATTATTGGTCGGAGAACAGAAGTTAACATAGTACAAACCTGAAGTAATTAATATACATAAGAAATATAACAGTCACAAAACTACACAATTATATAACAGATTTGAAGGGGATCTTAAAAGAGGTCACATTTGTATTAAATATATCAATTCTGTTTTGTAGATTGTTTAAACAGGTACACATGGAATATAGCGGAGAATGCAGCAGTAAGTTGGTCCTGAGGGTTGGTAAATAAAACGTTAGGATGTTTCTGGTGAGACATCTTGGTATATTAAACGACAGGCGACTTAGAATATCCGGACAATCATATTGGTTGTGAATAACCTTGAATAAGAATATTAGTGAGGGTATTTTTCTTCTGTGGTCTAAGCTTAGCATACCGTGCCTCTTTAATAATACATCTTGAGGAACACCTATTTCTGGATAGATACCATCTATCCTGTAGGACAGATATTTCAGAAACTTGCGTTGTATTTTTTCTGAGTCACAAGTCGTCACATACCAGGGATTCCAAATAATTCTAGCGTATTCAAGTTTTGACATTACAAATGCATTATACAGCATGAGTAAAGCATTTATGCTGTCAAAATCACGAGAGTTGCGCAATACAAAACCCAGACTTTTATTTACAGAATTTAGAAGGTAATTTATATGCGGATTGAAACTGAGGGTTATGTCAAAGGTGACTCCAAGGTCTTTGAATTTTCTTAGATTTGGCAGCGTTGTTTGATTAACCTTATAATGATATTCTATGGAGCGTTGTTTTCTGGAATACGTCATGCTGGTACACTTGGACGCATTCATGGATAGGTTATTATTATCACACCAAATTATTATTCTGTTGAGATTATCTTGGAGACGTTCGCAATCGGTGCTGTTGCTAACCTGAGTATAAATTTTAAGATCATCGGCATATAAGAGATATTTGCAATCAATAACGTCACAAATGTCATTGATAAATATGATAAAAAGAAGTGGTCCTAGCGATGATCCCTGTGGAACACCTGATGTTGGAGTAAACTTTTGAAATTTGGATCTCTTGAATTCCACAAACAGCTTACGGATGGACAGATAGGATTTCAAAAGGCATACTAAATCATCTGAAAAGCCCACTCTATCAAGTTTTGCTAGTAGCAGATGAAGGTCCAGCCTATCAAATGCTTTACTAATATCTGTATAAATGACATCGGTTTGTACTCCAGCGTCCAGGGATTCAGAAATGAATTGTGAAAAACAAATTAGGTTAGTCCACAACCTCCCTTCCATAAAACCGTGCTGACAAGGAGACACTAACATATATAAAATTGTACAATAAGTACTCCAAAGCTTTGGAGAAGTTACATACCAAAGTAATTGGTCTATATTTTTATATAGCAGTTCTGTCACCTTTTTGCTTCTCGCCAAACGTCGGGAAATATTTTAGTTTTCAGAATAATATTGTATATTTTTGTTAATGGGCATGCAAGGACAGACGCACAGTCTCTCAGCAAAAAAGGTGGGATACAATCTGAACCACTATTTCGTTAAAATTAATTAGGGAAAAATTAGTATAGGATGAAGGTAAATTACTTGACGGAGCCAAATGAGGATTCTCTGAAAATACTGATTGAAAAAAGCTGGTAAACGCATTTTCTGTGTCCTGTGCGAATATGGGGACTTTTAGGATATTACTAGATAATCAGCTGTCATTCTACCGTGAAACTGATTATAGAGAGTTTAATGAGGGATTATGGGACTCGAAAAAGTGAAGTTAGGAAATGTCGGGCTTATGTGAAAAAGTGAAATTATGTTTTTATGAATTAAAGCCATTCGACCAATGTCAAAAAATCTAACGTCAAAGTAAAGGACCGCGAAAGACCTTTCATACAAGCTGTTACTTGTCATTTAAAATTTTTAAGGGGATGGCCCTGTGGGGCAGAGGGTGAAAGGGGGTGGAGTAGTTTTCGGTTAAAAAGTTGTCCCCCTTGACAAATCTTTTGACGTGTCTCGGCCTTTTTTCTTTTAATCAGTGGTTTTCGATAAATCCATGGTGGGAAGTTTTCAAATGAACACCCTGTATAATAATACTCGTAGGTTGGGTTTTTCTCGAAGAAACGTTGCACCAATAATATCCGTAACTTTAACTTGCGTTATTCTAAGCAAAAAAGTTCATTATAAATTATGTCCGAAAATCAATCGTTTTCGAGGAAAGTGAGTCATAAGTAATTGAATTTCCTCAAACATTTGGCAACGCTGCAAAGCAAGCGCGATACGAGCGCACGACGAATTGTTCACGTTTGTATGATATTTTTGTTGAAAATATGCCTTGAATTCTTGAATACTTTTACGCAATTTTTTGTGGCTAATACTTTTTATTTAATAACGCTTTCTGTAGAGTACATTTACTTTAAAAAAAGTTAAAACTTACCGGTACGTAAGGATACACACCACCAATTCGAACGATTATCAGTCACTTGCTCGAAAAAAGAAAAAAAATCCGTAAAACACGTAAATGTATTAGTAATCACAATAGATGTTCTTCGGTTTCCACTCCAACTTCACGATGTCTTCCGCGACTGTTAAAATTAGGCACTACGCTCCCTGTGTCCAGAAGCCTTTGGGATACTTCTACGAATGTTCTTCTAGCTGGTAGCCTCCGATCAGGAAAACGTTCTTCGAGAATGCGTCTAGCCTCTTCAGAATTGCAATAAGCCTCTCCGTAAATAATATCGTGATACTTGCGTGCCGAAAACATCTCTTTCGTATCAACATACACGCACTGATACAGTAGTACATATTGAATAATAAAATGTGATTTCAATTCTTGCATTAACGTATGCAAGAGACAGTTAATTAATAAATAGATGTATTAATACATTTTACGCTATTAGGCATATGAATTTAAATTATTAATGTGCAAAATTAATTTTTTTCATGACTAAAGAGTAATAAGTTCAGCATTTTTTTGCTCCGAAACCGTTGATTTTCGGATATAGGTTATAATGAACTTTTTTGCTTCAAATAATGCAAGCAATCACCTCTTAAAGTTACGAATACCATTTCCCTAACACGATGTATATATATTACTATTTTAGAATCGTATCAGAGCAAAGAATCAATGACATTTTAATGAATTAAATAAAATGCAATATAGGCGAAATAAATATATTTGTGTTACTCTACTTAATGTGCCACAGAGGGTCATATCACATCAGATCTGTTATAAATACAAATACATAAAAAATAATTATGGAAAATCACTACCTTTCAAGTCGACAGAAAAAAGCATGTTTTGATTTATCATTATAATCACATATCAAGTATTTATCGTAAAAATCTAACACCACTTTTTCCACTTTGAATCCGAATTTCTGGTACAGGAACAAGGCCGGATTGTTTATTGAAACATTTAGCGTAATATCCTTTCCCAGGCTAGTCTGAAACAAACAAAAACATGGCGTCAAGTAGATCGACTCTACACTTTCCACGTCTCCGAAATGACTTCTAGTACAATTTTCCATGAAATGCAGGGGCGTCAAAAAGAAGTGGATTTTGTTGGAAAAACATTAGTGCTCTATTTGGGCGTCCTCTTATTTCCACGCCTTTATCGACGCGCTTACAAATTGATCAGGGTTGCCAAGTATGGCGATTTTTCACTAAATCTGGTGACTTTTTCCCTTTTGTATCCCTTGCAAAAAGCCTATATTTTATTAAATTTATCAAAGAGATCCATCAACCTTCAATTGTTTGTCACGAATCACTGGAATAATATGACTTAGCGCATACGTATTATTTGTTGTTAGGTATGATCGTTTCTTACAATTATTCAGAAAAATAGTGAAAATAAAATAAGAGTGTGTAATGTCAAATTATTTATTCTATTTGAAAAATTATGGTAAACTGAAAAACTTGGTGTTTGTAACTTTTATAAAATCTTTAAACGACTGTAAAAATTCCAGATCGAAAAATAAAAATTGAAATAAAAATGACTCTACATGTCAAGTACTGACAAGAGAGGAGTTATAGAGATCAGAATGTCATTTTCGATCGAAGTAAGTAAAAATATATAGGGTGTCCCATTCAACAATCGAAAGTTGGAGTCGTTTCCGGTCAAACCGGGAGTACGTCAAAGGAAGCGAATATGTCAAGAAATGTAAATTCATCTATAATACGCAAACCCAAAATTAATTTTTTCTATCTTAAATAATAAAAAAGTTGAGGGGGTGAGTCACCTTGGAGAATCACCCGGTATGTACAGAAAACCACGAGATCAAATTTGCTCAGAAATGAAGATTCCAAAGTGGTTTTTATTTTTCTCCAAAAACATTCAACGCAAAACCCTTACAGACGCAACTCGTATAAATAATAAAATTGTTTGTACATCAGAAAATATATAGGAGATTCGTACCAAATTCCATTAAGATATCCACACAGTTATTATAAAATACAGATTTTTTCTGAAAACTTTACCGCTCTGTATCTCAAAAGTTGAGACATTTAGGACATCAGTTCATATGTATTTTTTTTCCTAAAATGGATCCAAAAATCCCCTTGAATATTAGGATCTCATTAAGGAGACGTAACACAAAGATTTTTTATCATATGTATACAGAACTCCCGAAGTTACTAATTTTATACAGTTTCAGCAACATACTGACTTAGTTTCGCTTGGTCCTTAGGCCCAGTCTTTCAATCGCAAGTTAACTTTCTGGTTAGTTGACTTGTAGTTGTCTGCAAATGCTTTTTTTTAATTTTAAGGTTCTCCATGAAGTTTTTCGTAGCTTTTGTATAATAAATTTTATACCTATATTGAGTTTATAATAAAGTTCGACTAATTTTTAATACTCGGAGACTTGTTTTTAATTTGGGAACTATATTGATTATTATGTTTACGATATAATAGCTTGACAACGATTGAAGATGTAAGTTTATTATACAAGGATTACTAAAAACTTCATGGAGAATCTAAAAATTTGAAAAAAATGGGGATTTCCATTTAAAAATTTAAAGTGCAACGCAATATCTTATTTTTGGATCACCCTGTATTGTACGGCTAGAGAATAAAAGACGTCCCCCTAGTAATCATAATTGACGTGTCCGAGCATTTTTCCCAAAATATACCACGAGAGTCGCAAATGGGGGTACGGCCTTTTCGTTGGGCCAGAAAACCGAGAGATCAAATTTGCTCAAAAATGAAGGAAGATTCCAAAAATGGTTTTTATTTAAAGAGAAAACGGTGGCGTACCTTTTATTTCTCCAAAAATATTCAATCCGAAAAACCTGTACGGTCGCCACTTGTAGAAATTATACAATGCATCAGAAAATGTATAGAACAAGTGTGCCAAATTTCATAAAGATATCCACACAGTTATTATAAAATACACATTTTTACGTGAAAACTTTACTACTCTTCTATCTCAAAGGTTAAGACATTTAGGACATAAGTTCATATGCATGTTTTTTCTTAAAATTGGTCCAAGAATCACCTCCTTGAATATTGGCATCTCACTGAGGAAAATCCTGTAGGCGTAGCCTCAAAAATCAAAATACTTGATCATCTGAATACAGAACTCCTGACATCGCTAATTTTATACAGTTTCAAGAGGTGGCTTCCGGCAATATCAGCTGCAAAGCAGCTAGAAACAAAGCTGGAGTAGTTCTCCGCAATGCCTTCCTATGCTGGAGATTGAAATCCCATAAGAAAATGGACGGGGTAGCACCTAAACCAAAACAACTAAACGTAAGGTACAATATGAAGGGGTACTACTCCACAAACTGGTGTTGAAACACCTAGCTTTATAAAGGAAGGTTCAATGAGTGTCCTTGATGAAGATATTCAAATAACGGAGAAAAAACAGAGTTTTTTTCCAACACAATACTCAATCACTGAGACATAAATATATAATACGTGTGAAATTATACAATCAATTTACCATAAGAAAATGATTGAATAGGGTTTGGCCTAGGAATGGGCACTCTGTAATCAATAAAGAGAAATTTAAATTACTGGTAAGTGGTCAAAATATCAACATGCTCGCTTAGAATCACTCCATAAGATAGTCTTTTGTGGAAATATAAAATAAATTATATATTTCAACCAAGCTCACCTGTATCAAATGATATACCATAAACCGGCCGATTCCGCAATTCCTCCATCCCGGTCTCGTGAAACAAAACGACATATAATTTTCCGTGTGACTAACATCAGGCACCAAAAACGCGAATCCAACGATGAGCCTTTTATATAACACGACGCAGCTGAAGTCCGGGTACTTCAAGGAATCCGTCAGATCAATCCCGGGCCAGAAAAACTGGTTACACAGACTGTTGATCGCCGGTATATGTTCAGGCTGGACGTACGTGTAGTCCAAAGGGGCTCTCGGCGGTAGTTCATATTCACTATCGTATTTTGCGTTGACAGTCAGCTGGATTTCGGCCATCAGTTTAAGCCAAGGCGGGAAAATTTCTGTGTCTCGCCGGATGTAGGGTTTAAGATATATTTCGCTGTAAGGTGAGAGAAAGGGTTCTTGACGAATTCCTCCTGTTAACTTCGTGTATAGACTCGTGCCTCTCAAATAGGCTAGCTCTGGAAGTAAAGAAAGCAATAAGTATTTCTTTACCTAAAAGTTTAAGCAAGAAATGTCAGACAGGATACAAAATTTTGTTCATAATTTGGTTCCAAATACAGCAGACGCTCGATAACGTAAACACGGGATAATGAAAACTTGCGCTAATGTAAACACAAACTTCGTTCTGTAGGATCAAACGGAACGCGCGATAACGTAAACAATGTGTACGCTCGATAACGCAAACAACTCTCGGCGCACGGAAACAGCGCGACGGTAAAATGCTGAAGCCTCGAGGATTTATGTCGGGCGTCGGGGAGTCCCCGATTTATGATGTGTAGGGGATTCACCTCTGCGATAAAATACGACAAACTCGGTCAGTCGTATGACCGTTTAGGATACGTTTATACGTACGTATGTATTTCATTTTTGAACTTAAGTGAATACATTGCACGCGATAATATATTTTACGACTATGGCATCCACATCCTATAAAAGAAAGTGTTTAAAGTTGAGTGAGAAAGTGAAAATCATAGACGAAGTTGCACTAGGTGCGGGAGTGACACAGTTAGCAAAAAAATATGGAGTATCGAAAGCAACAATCTGTAAAATTAAGCGTATAAAAACTCAAATTTTACAAAGAACGTGCAATACATTTGGGGGTTCGGGAAAAAGAAAAACTTTAAAAAATGCGAAGGCACCTAAAATGGAAAATTCCCTGTATAAGTATAAAACAACGGGAAAATCATGTCCCAGTTAGTGGCGAAGTACTTAAACAGAGAGCGAGACTGTTAAATGAAAAACTGAAAGAAACTGAAAATTTCGCAGCTAGTGATGGCTGGCAACGATTCAAAACAAGATATGGAATTCGACTGCTGTCTATATCCGGTGAAAAATTATCAGCACAACCACAATTAGTGCAACCATTCAAAGAAAAATTGATGAAAACAATTACCGAGCTAGATTTAAGAATGGAACAAATTTACAACGCAGATGAAAGTGGCCTTTATTGGAAAATGTTACCAGAGAAAACCTATGCTGCATCATTTGAAAAATCTGCCCCGGGAAGAAAGCCGGAGAAACAACGAATAACGTTTCTAGCCTGTACTAATGCTAATGGTTCACACAAAATAAAGCCACTGGTAATTGGGAAAGCAAAAATCCGCGCTCATTTAAAAATGTTAATATCCCTGTTGATTATGACTGTTCAAAAACCGCTTGGATTACTAGCAGTATATTCCTGAAATGGTTCCACAGGTGCTGTGTCCCTCAGGTATGACAATCAATTATCACAAATGCTCTATTCATAATTTGAAGATGTGTTTTCAATTTGTAGGTAAAAGGTTTCCTAAAACAACAGAAGCTTCCAATAAAAGCGTTGTTACTATTGGATAATGCACCAAGTCATCCTCCCGAGAAACAACTGACACCGTTAATTCAACCGATGGACCCGAATATAATAAGACTCACCAAACTATACTATAGGAAGTTTCTACTTTCGTCTGTCTTATCAAAGAATCCTGAAAACTTATCTGAGGCTTTAAAAAAAGTAACATTACGAGAAGCTGTTTTAGATTTACATATGGCCTGGAATGAACTTAACGAGCAAACTATTCAAAAATGTTGGATCTCTTTTGTACCAATAATGAAGATGATGAAGAAGACGATGTCCCCTTAAGCGTAATTAGAGAACGTTTGCGATCCAATAATGATAATGTTATTAGTGTGTCATTGGATGTTGTTGATTTATTGAAAACAGTGAATCCCAACATTGTTTGTACTCCTGCTGATATTAATTAATGGAACGAAGATAAGCAGACGAATGATGCTGATAAGGAGGAGGATATGGACAGTGAGGATGATGAGAACGATCCCATTGAAGTCAGAAGTGTAGTGACTGACGCGCAAGCTATACAAGTTTTTAACCAAGCTTTAGATTGGACTGAAAGAAAAGAAGTTTCATACACGGATATTTTAGTTCTTCGTAAATTACGGGCGCAGGCATTGGAAGACAATGCTAAGCGCAAATTTACGCAGACAAAAATTGTTAATTATTTTTATTCTAATTAAAAAAATACTTATCGCTGTTAGAATATTTGTTTATTTTGTTATAAATAGTATGCATTAATTTGATAAATCAAATATTATATAAATCACGTTCGCTAATGTAAACATTTCGATAATGTGAACCACAATTTTTTACATTATCGAGCGTCTGCTGTACTTCGGAATAAATAAATAAATAATAGTAAGTGCCAAAATACTATACTGTAACGACACCAGAAAATAACTGAAATCGTGCATTTTGTGAGAAATATATAAGCCCAACTCACTATTTAGGGAGGTATTATAATGGCAAAATGGATCATACAGCTTAATATTCTCTGTACGTTCTGTTTCTTGTTCTTTCTTTGTACAAGTCGGATGAGTTTGTAATTTTTCTTCCGGTTCTGTTATTAATTCTATAGGTATGTCAAGCGATGCAGTTCCAGCTTTAAATAGTCTAAAAACATTAGGAATAATTAATATATCATCAGTACAGAGCATAAGCGCTTACTTCTTTGGATTGCTTAACGAATTAGTAGGACCTTTCCTTTTTGTCCGTACAACTTTTTTTACTACTGGTACCTGTAATAATAATAAATAATAATAATAATGATCAAGATTATATTGCCCAATACCACTTAAAAAACAATTCATGTATCGGGTTTTCCAATAGGGACTTGACAACTTTGAACTTTCACACAATTGCCGAACTGTGAATGTCAAAACATTCAGTAAAGAAAACATTTTCATCATGGTGAAGTACAGGAACGAACAAGGCTTACAAATATTTAAAATTTACTACCGAAATTCCGAGTCGGTGACTGCAATTTTAAGAGCGTTAACGCCAATTTTTGGTCGTAGTTCTCGTCTCGGTGGACAAGCAATTTATAGTCTAGTAAACAAATTTGAGTCCACATATTCGCTGCTGGATGTCCCCGTGCGAGTGAGAAAACGGATTGGTCGAAGTGCCGAGAATATTGCTGCCATTCAAGCTTACGTCGCAAATGAACAGAATAATAATAATAAATTTATTTTCCTTCAGACATGCATGAACATGTATAGGTTTCATCAAAAAAATACAATAAGTAATTATGTACAAAGTAAATAAATAAAAACAAACAAATAACATCCAACAACAAACCAGTTAAAATTAGTGATAAACCCCAGAAGCACAAAGCATACAGCATGCGAGACTCAACCTGACCATGATACAACATCAATAGCTGATCCTCTGTGAAAACAGATCTCAGGTTGTTGAATAAATATGCTTGTGAATTCAGTTTTGGTGACAGATAATCGCAATGTCCTTTAAAGTTGAGACATTGGTCTAAGTGGAGCCCTAAAAACTGCTTTTATCACTCTTCCGTTGCCGAACCGTTTAGAACAAGCTGGATCGCTGGTATCGACTTCTGAACGTTATGGAACCTTACTGTGGTCTTCACGCTATTAAGAAGTAACTGATTTTCTTCAAACCAGATATTCATGTTGTACACTAAGGTGTTACATTTATTTATTAAATCAGCCTCGTCTTTGTTTGATATAATGATGGAGGCATCGTCTGCATACAACGTGAATTGTGCTTCAGGGAAACATTGCTCCACGTTATTTATATAACGGGAAAACAGCACTGGCCCCAATATAGATCCTTGTGGTACGCCTATACAGGGTGTCCGCAAAGTTGGGGTTTTCCTTTACATGACGTGTAGTTCTTGAAAACATAAGCAATTTTTCTTAGTACCATATACACCAATGTCTTAAGGGGACCGAGATAAAGGGCTCTGCAACATCAAAAATATCTGAATACCGTCCTGTAGCCGCGACATCACCGACTGGTACAAGGTGACTGGCTCAACCCGACGACACAACTGGGTCGGGGTCAGTGTGTCAGGTCAGTATGCAATCTTCAACCGACGGTTACGGTCACGCGTGTAGAGGTAATCGCGTAGACGAGAATCCCTCAACAAGCACTAGAGACGTGGCTAGAGAAGTGCAAGTATCAAAAACTAAAGTGTGGCAAACGCTACGTGAAGACGGGCTGTATCCAACGTGTACAAGCCCTTCAACCTGACGATTTTCCAGCAAGAGTGCGGTTTTGTGAGTGGTTGTTGCATCAACATGACAATAATCCGGACTTTTTGAATGGGGTGAATAACTTTCGCAACACTCATGTTTGGTCAGTAGAAAATCCGCACGCTGTCCGTCGGGCACATTTTCAACAAACATTTTCGGTGAATGTTTGGGCTGGCATGGTGAACGGTATGCTCATTAGACCATTTATTCTCCCAAATCGATTGGACGGAATGCTATACCTAGACGTTTTACACCACATTTTGCCTTCCTTGTTAGAAGATATGCCATTAAGTGTAAGACAATCAATGTGGTTTCTGCGTCTGCTCGGTAGCACATCAGCTGATTTCATTTTCTGTTGGAGCGGTATGATTTCGGGCAGAGACGTACTTAGCCTTCTCGTCAACTGAAGAGTGAGTACTTTTTTCTTTATTTTTTTTTACTTGGTCGCCCTCGTTTCACTACAGATTACCTTTGTTATTTCAAGGGTAGTTGTTTCTGAAAAGGAAAACTCCAACTTTGCGGAAACCCTGTATTTATGTTAACCATACCCGATTTGACCTGCTTCAGTTGACCAGCGTTGTTGTGTGTTATTGCCACGTATTATGACCTATTCTGTAAGTACGATTTTATCCACAGAGAGGCTGAACCACCAATTCTATAGTCGATTCCACGGCGATCTCATCACTTGGCCATCGATCAGACAACACTATGGCGAATTTTGCAAAGATATGGCCTGCGCCCTTATACGACCAAGTTAACTCAAGAACTAAAGCCGTTCAATCATTTTTTTCATCACAAAATCATCTTCAGTGATGGGGCGCATTTTTTGGCTAAATGGCTTCGTCAACAAACAGAACACGCTTTATTGGTCAGGTGAAAACCCGCATGTGCTTCAAGATACACCACTTCATCCACACAAAATAAATGTATGGTGTGGTTTTCAAGCCGGTTGTGTCATTGGGCCGTTTCTTTTTTTTTCATTGATGAAAATAACCGTAATTTTTTGGTCAATTGGATGGATTAGACATTAAAGACATGTGGTTTCAACAAGACGGTGCCACAAGCCACACAGCGGGTGAAACCATCGACATATTGAAATCAAAATTCGGTGAACGTGTTAATAGAGAAATGGGCTTGTCAAACGGCCGTCTAGATCATCCGCAAACAATATATTGCATTCCAGTGAAGTGCATAGGACATTAACATATAACAACAATGACAGAGGACCCCAATTGTACCCCTGTGGTACTCCACTAGTAGAAATAGTGAAAAATGTACAGTGTAATTTTTCCTAAAATTTTATAAGAAATGAAAATATTTTGTATTCGCATTTGACTGCTGCGGACAAAAGCCACAACTCCCCCGTATTTTTCTCAGATTGGCGTGCACCTTGTAATCTGAAAGGCTAAGATGGTTAGTTGAGGCAGAATTGGACTACAACTTAAGTCTAATCATGTAGGTATATAAAAACAATATATCACCTTTTCATAATCATCCTTTATGTCAACCTGGGTTGTATTGACAATGAAGGTTTGTAAATATTCTTGATCATCCACACATAAAGTTAATACTTTACCGAACAATTCTGCATCTGATGGAACTTTGAGTTTTTTACTTTTCAGAACTCCTTTTTCATTAATCATCTCAGCATCTAAAAATGAAAGAAGAGTATAAACTGTGCACGTAATAATACAAAAAGTGGGTGCAATAAGCATCATAATTTCGAACATCTTTAAACAAGCTGTTCTAGTTGGACAGTCATTTCACATTGCATGAATCTGTTTCAAATGTAACAAAACTAAAAGTTACTATTCATATCACTAATATCAATAGAGAAAGCAGCATTGTATAATAAACAAAAGCAAAAGTGATGTTCACTCACGTATGTGTGTAATAACATCTGGACTTAAACTAGTATATTTCAGAGTCCACCAGGCTGGCTCATTGAATATGGATGTACCGGATACGAAAATAAATGGGTTGAAGTGTGACAGTGTTCCAGCAATCGTTCCCCTCCACTTTTTCTTCATTTTTGTATCAGGTGGGAATATTATATCCCAATTTTTATCGATAAATGAAGCAACATGATGGCGCCAATGGAAGAATCCCCTGCGAGCCAGACCTGGCCTTTTCTCTCTAAGATGATATAGCACAAGAACTATAATCTGCATCCTAAAAACAGAGTACAACTTTGGAACTATTGTAATAGCAAGAAATCTCAGTTGACATGATATTTGGATGGTCGTTCAAAATAATAATCTGTCACAGCTGCTTCTGTATTTACTATATATACTTCGGAAAGGTTAGTGTCCCATAGCCCTATAGCCAGTAGATACAAAATATTTTTTAATGATCCAAATAATATAAAAGTTAATCATAAAGGTAAAGCAAGAGTTCAAGTTAATGTTAGTTTTTTTTTTGAAATAATTTATTTAAACACAATAATACAAAAAGTATAACCAGTTTTAACAATAATTCCCTAATCAGTGTTTGCAAACACTGGCCCCGAGAATAACAAGACAATAATTAATATCTATGAACTACAGGTACACTGCAATGTTGCTCATAATTTCAACAAATAAATTCATTAACATTTTTACAATCTTTCTAGTTGACTAGAGTTCTTGTAAAAATATAAGGAAATAAATCTAAAAAGCTAGTAAATAAGGTTAATGACAAGAGATTCTGAATTTTAATGAACCCTGACCATTTGCTTGCCATTTCTAAAAAACGAACGCATTGTTGTTAGATGCCCATTGTAGATATTTTAAAGATTGGGCTTAAGATAATAGCATCTTAGAAAGCTGGAGGTAGTTTGAGTTTCCTGACTATCCCTAGTGACACCTTTTGCTTTACACACCATTTCAAGATATCAATACATTGTATATGATCACCTATTAAGTTTGAAAGAAGCAATAGAAGGCTCAGATTTTAATAACTCTTTAAAGAGATGACTCCTTTTATTCACCAAACTGTTTTAGTTGTACTTAAAGCTCCACTGACATTTGAAGGCCCTTGATAATACTGGTTTTTTGTGGGTATATTATGAGATAAGAGAAAATTGGGAATTTTAGTGGGAATGTATAGGTAGGAGTTTAGAATACGTGTGTGACTTACCAAGAGGTTTTATTCCTAATAAACACCTCAACACCACTCGCAGAACACTCTGTGCATTTGTAAGTGAAAAATACATCTCCATGTAAGCCTCCTGGTACAGATCCTCTCTTTAAACATCGTAAATGCACCATTTGATTACATTCAAAACATTGCAATCCCTCATCTTTGCATGGTTTTATTTCATCCATGCAATACTTGCACACTTTGTTCTGATCAAATATATTCATTATAAACTACTTTTCGTTTATCTATGACTATGGCTATCTAATAATCTTAAAATTGTACATTATTATTTAATTTGTTGTAAAACCTGTGCTATTTGCAAGCAAAACAAAAAATATAACCTACAAACTCGAATATAACCTCTAATTTTGTTAAAGAAGTGTTGCCAACATCAAGGTATTGACTGCTGTAGCTGTGTTCACACGAGCAATTAGTGAACGTTTGGTCAAGGTGTCGCTTAGATCAGCCTGTTTACATCACATCTCGTTTCAAAGATGGAGATCTAAAATCGGAAATCTGTGTATTATGTAATTATGTGCCGTTATAGATGCCGAAACTTTTCAAGCATGTATACGCACATTTGAACATTATAACGTCATAGAAAACTTTCTTACATAAAATAAACCTACGATTCTAACGGTGCGGTGTCCACTTTCGGTCTCGTTCCTGTGAGGCATATAAAAGCATTTTTTTGTGAGTCCACGGTGTAGCACAGTGCACTACCGGGAAGCGATACTCAAATTTTCGCGAAGAACGGGAATAGGGGAAGACGGATGTGACGTCATCCAAATGTCAAAAAATCACGTGGTACGGGTAACTTAACGTCTGTGAGGTACTAGCGGGTGACAGGTCTTATGTCAACGTCATTTAAAAAACAAAAATGTCAATTGAAAATTTATCTTCGCAGTGCCGGAAAAATCCTTTAATAAGAGATGCGGTCACATACGATCCTGCATCCATTCACAAAAACAAAAGACCTAGATTAGCACTTCTTTAACAATCTGATCATCTAAAACTATGATTTATTCTTTATTTCTTTACAATTCTGAAGCGTGTGTGTGCTGTTGATGATGTTTACATTGACCGGGAGCAGACGCGCGGAGTGGGAGATGGAAAGGAGCGTGGCTGTACTACCCGGCTGTCCCGTAACGCGTAGACATTCGATATTCCGCTTCGCCGACAGTTGCGGAGAGACTGAAGCCTGCAACCTGCAAGTGCTGTACCTCGCTGCGGCAAAACGGTACGGCCGGGTATTACAGCCACGCCCCTTTGCAACTCCCACTCCGCGCGTCTGCTCACCAAGCGACTCGATGTTTACGTTGACCGGTAGCACTCACACGCTTCAGTCTCTCGGCAACTGTCGGCGCAACAGAAGGTCTAGGCGTTCGCAGCTCCGTGAGGAGCTCTATTCGGTTTAGCTACTTTTTTTCAGTAGTGGTGTTCACTATAGGGTTCTCGATCCTCTCTTAGTGGTGCCTTGGTGTTGTGACGTGGATGTCAAGTGTTTCCAAAGTGGAAATTAGGTCTACTTCCAACTCTTCTGAGGGAAACACGATATCTGTGCAGGAAACTAGGTGAACTTTGCATACTCATCTAGTTGTGTGTTACGGTTGACATCCTATGTTTTTTTTAAATAAATTGCTTACGTTGCATTCACTGAGAGGTTAGTCATAGGTATATCTCAATGGCCAGATCAATATTAGTCAAAGAATCACTTCCCAAGCGACTCATTTTCACTACATAAGCTGACTAGCACTGTTTAGAAACAATATTACAAAAGTCCGCTTAGCGACGTTTTCTGCTGTCCTAGTTTTCTAGGGTTTTCCTCGCCCAAGTGCGAATGCAGTCACTAAAATCCATATTCCCCTACTAAATAGTAGAGAAAATGAAAATCGTACTTCTCCTATAAATGATCATGTAATTTTAGATCAAATACTTAAAAAAATTATTTATTTAATGTTTTCTTTTCCAATTGTTGCAAGAAGTCCCCCTATTCAAAAAGTAAGTGTTCAGAGACATTTAACATTCCGCCGCATAGAGGCCAGGTGACGCAAAATGTAAATAACAGCTTTTCTGAGTTTTTTTGCAAACATTGCTACGCCTCAAATTTTATATATCTCCATTGGTATCTTTCAATGTTTTAATCAAGGCTTATTTTTTTATATAACATTCTAGCAACATAACAGAGGTAACAGAATTGTCCTATGATCAGGCGGCGCAGCAATTTAGGTGACAAGAATGACAAGGTCAACTGCTAAAACGTATGTCTATCCCGGGGTAACGATGGAGTCATATAGTACGGCAAAGTGGCAGTTTTCCAATCATCATTTGTATTTTAAAGCGGTGTGCAACGATTTCGAGAAAAATTTCCCTACGGATAGTTTACTAGAGTATATGTTAATACTTGTCTTGCGTGGCCATGTTATTTTTACTCGGACTAATCGGATTCTAACAAGACAGCTAAGTTTATCGAGGATCTTAAAGCTAACATTTTGGGCAACATGCGTCATCTAACTATAAGGCGGTGTAACTGGAATGCACGTGGAAGATTTCAACGTAACTTGCCGCGATCTTAAAATCCTAATTCTCAAGGTTTTTCGTCATCTTTTGTGTGCTTTGTTGGTTTCCAATATTATTCAAAATTTCTGCTTGCAACTCCTCTGAAATGTGGAAATTGGAGTTATTTACGTACATGATGACAGCAGCAGAGAGATACTTAGATATGAGAGATATGCCACATTTTATGGGCTTAACCTCCTATCTCTTCTTGAAATTCGTTCGTCAAGTGTTATGGGAACAAAGCTTAATCCAACCGACGTCAGGGCCGACAATATAAAATCCATAGATAAAAATTTACCAAACTTCATTTTACAAAACAAAACTTAAACTCTAATCAGCTGTTAGATTCCCTGATGATCTCCTATTTGGGTGGACAAGTTTTGTGCAAGTTTACATAAGGGCTCTTTATTCAAGATGAATGCAACAACTAGAGTGAGCTACTATATCGACAAATATGGTGTGTTTCACAGAATATTCAGAAATCAAGATGTTCCTGTTGCAACCATTCCACAAAGAATCCTTAAAGACGAGATACCAAAACCGAGCGCAACTTGGTTGAGGCTGATCATGATGTTCTGGAATGCAAGAGTGATGAAGACAGCTTTTAGATTTGGAGTTGCTGCTATCATAATGAATCAGTATGAACGTCTCGGCTTTGCTGCTCTTCTGTTGTGTTTTGCTATATGATATTTCCATTAGGTAAAGGTGGTCTAATCATATTTAACGGATGTAGATTCTGCAGAGTGTAGGTGAATATAACTTTGTACATTTGAATAAGTGACAAAAGTGTATTGATCCAGTTCTTTTGAGCTATGCCTTCATCGAAAGTTCAATATTATATGGAAACAAAGCATATGAACTGCTTGTAAACATAGGATAGGGTGTGAATACATAAGAATGAATTAAAAAAATGTGTCTGGTAACATATTACCAAATATCAGCAGAAACTATCACTAGAAGCATGTAATTTCAAATCAGAAAGCAGCACATTGAGTTCAATTTACATAAATAGTACAAAACTATTTCATCTGTAATATTTAGTAATGATACTAACAAAAAATTATAATTAATGAGTCACCACTGTTTCTTTTGTGTCTATCCAGCAATGAAATAAATTATTATTATTTTATTATGACTGGAGGACCTTCTGACAGTATTCAAATGACAAGAATTGTATTTTGTGTATGTGTGTATCTTCCTTTTTATCTGTTCTCCTCTTTGATATAAATCAATCCGAGACCATATGTGACCCTAGTACATTTTTGTAGGGGTCGAGTAGACACATTTCAAAATTATTGCTTATATCAAGCAAGAAAAGGAGATTACTGGATGAATATCAAATTACTAGTAATGCCAAAGCACTCTACATTTGAGGCACTTTCTATAAAGGCAAGCTGCATAGTGTTGAACAATGATTTGTTTTGTTTTTTGGTCTATTCTTTAGATGCAGACGTGAGTATGAAGACATACTTTAATGAGCAAATTGTTAGATGTATATAGTTCATCTGTGTTACAAGTATATAATGATATATGTTGATTTTTTTATGTCAGTAAAGTTTTGTATCCTGTAGACCTAAAAGAAAAAATTAGCAAACTTCCTCATAATCAACATAGTTTCATCAAAGAAGTGTTCAAGCCTCAGTTAATGATATTGTGATACTATATGCAAAGCAATATCAGAAGACATGTGAGCAGTGTCTTAGGACCGTATAGTCAGTCATTTCTACAATTATTATAGGATGCTTTTATGGCCTCCTTGATATAAATCAAATTTAAGTGAATAACTAAATGAAAATGGTTTTTACCATTTTGGATTGGTATTTACCGATCTGTTCACGTGAGTGTGGTTATAAGATCCGTGACGTCATGAATCAGCTGTTATATGTCATATACTCGAAATCACGAAAGATGACGGTTACGTCATCATTTTCGTCTGTAGTAAAGACAAAACGACAGCGATTTGTGAATATTTTTAATGAAGTTTCAAATATGTTAGACAGAGAAAAAACAAAGGTATCACATTAAACCATGAAATAAAAATAATCAGTGAATAAACTAACTTGGTTAAATCATAATATAAATGAATGATATCGTGATTTCATCATCGACGTACATCCATTGATTAGTTCAGTACAATTTATGGTAACAGTCATCTTTCGTGACCCAACTCAGGAGTAGTTTTATACAGGGTGTCCCAAAAGTCGACGTCAAGCCGAAACCGGGTGATAGGCAAAGTCATAACAGCTATCAGAAAAATATTTAAAAAAATTTTATGTATGTGTTTTGAAAATTATAGGTCTTTGAAAAAGATATAGAAATTTCACACCCTACGGCAGTCTGCCAACTCCTGTTACTACAAATATTAACTTTTTTTGGATTTTATTTTTACAATGTAATGATGAATAATGCATCTTCAAACTGGTGTCGCAACCTAACTGCCAACTTTTCTCGTTCAGGAAAAATTGCCACTTATTTCCCAACCAAGTATTCCAAAGTAAAACTTTGCTCAACTTTAACTGGCTGTAGTGGAAAAAAGTGTACTACGAGAGTTTGGCAAGCAACCTTAAAAGTTGGCGCATTTAATAACGATTCCAAAATGGTATAACACTTAGAAGATTACTCGTTAACTTATGCACAATTTTTACTTGAAAAAAAACTGATGAAAATTTTTCAAAATTTCCTAATTAAACAGCGATTATGAAAACGCACAAGGACCCTTAAGGATAACTGTTTGCACAACAGTGGGCGTCAAAATGCTGCTGATGATGATTTACCTTTACAGCAAATGCTCAAACTGTTTTCCTTCAGCCGCAATACACGCTCGACATCTTCTTAAAAAAGATCGGGTTATTAAACGAGCGAATCCACGGTTATTAACAAACTCAGCTGCTTCCAATAGTCTTTGCCGTAGCTCAGCTACATTTTGAGTGGGCTTGAAATACACTTTTTCTTTTACAGTTCCCCAGTAAAAAGGATTCAAATCAGGTGATCAGGCTGACCACGGTATTGTACCAGACCGCCTTATCCATCTGCCTGGAAAGTTTTGATGTGGTATGGATGAAGCACATCACTTACTTGCTATTGCACACTTTGATACCGATCAGTACTCCTTCGTTTACTGCGCATCTTTACATGTTCGTGCTTGTTGATTTCGTACTGTTACTAATCTTGGATTCGTGAACTGGACTGTTGATCGCTTGTGATTTGGATTTGGACTGTTTAATTGCTCTTCAAAACAACATTTGCTTTCCTTAGACTATATTTGATAGTGTGATTGTGCAGTGCCGCTATGTCCGTGTACACCGTACGAGAATATGCTAACCTGCACCTCATGTATGGGGAATGCAGATGCAACGCTAGTGCTGCAGCGAGACTTTACTGTGAGAGGTACCCGAATGCAGCTCGTCATCTAGATCATCGAGTGTTCACAAATGTACACCGCTTACTGTTCTCAAAGGGACAACTACAGAACCAATCACACGGTGAGGGAAGATCTTTTCTTCCTTACGAAGACGTGGTGCTAGGAGCTGTCGAAGAAGACCCGAGTACTTCAGTGCGTGCAATAGAACTAAAAACAGGTGTGCCCAAAAGTACAGCCCATAGAATCTTGCAAAAAAACGTGCTCCATCCATACCACGTACAGCGTGTTCAAGCTCTTCTGCCCCGGGATTATGAGCCCCGAGTTGCTTTTTGTCGCACAATGTTAGAAAGACACAGGGAAGATCCACGGTTCATTGAAAAAAATGGTCAGATGAGACCACATTTAAGAAAGATGGGTACATGAACTTGCATAACTTACACGAGTGGCACCTAGCAAACCCACATTTGATGAGAGAAGATAAATCTCAATATCGCTTCAAGATAAACCATTTTACAGGAATTTTAAATGGTAAAATAATCGGTCCGTTTGAGTTCCCAGAGACTTTGACTGCTGAGGTTTATTTAGGTTTTTTGCAAAATCATTTAGAAAATTTATTGTAGGACGTGCCACTGAGTATTTACAGGGACATGTGGTTTCAGCATGATGGCTGCCCAGCGCACTATGCACTCTCAGTGAGATAGTATCTCGATAAAAACTTTCCAGGCAGATGGATAGGGCGGTCTGGTACAATACCGTGGCCAGCCAGATCACCAGATTTGAATCCGTTAGATTTTTTTACTGGGGAACTGTAAAAGAAAAAGCCGATTCAAAATGTAGCTGAGCTACGGCAAAGACTATTGGAAGCAGTTGAGTTTGTTAATAACCGTGGATTCGCTCGTTTAATAACCCGATCTTTTTTAAGAAGATGTCGAGCGTGTATTGCGGCTGAAGGAAAACAGTTTGAGCATTTGCCGTAAAGGTAAATCATCATCAGCAGCATTTTGACGCCCACTGTTGTGCAAACAGTTATCCTTAAGGGTCCTTGTGCGTTTTCGTAATCGCTGTTTAATTAGGAAATTTGGACAAATTTTCATCAGTTTTTCTTCAAATAAAAATTGTGCATAAGTTAACGAGTAATCTTCTAAGTATTATACCATTTTGGAATCCTTATTAAATGCGCCAACTTTTAAGGTTACTTGCCAAACTCTCGTAGTACATTTTTTTCCAGTACAGCCAGTTAAAGTTGAGCAAAGTTTTACTTGGTTGGGAAATAAGTGGCAATTTTTCCTGAACGATAAAAGTTAGCAGTAAGGTTGAGACACCAGTTTGAAGTCCTATAATTTTCAAAACATATACATAAAATTTTTTTAAATATTTTTCTGATAGCTGTTATGACTTTGCCTATCACCCGGTTTCGGCTTGACGTCGACTTCTGGGACACCCTGTATATCTGGTTATTATTTGAAATGTGACAAGTTGGAATTTTGCCGGGTATTGGATATTTTTATTGTACTTCAGCTTCATTTTTGAGAAACTTGATACAGGCTGACTTCACTTTTAGCATAAAGTAGAGCACCTTATTAGTTATAATCATTACTGTTGTTAGGGACGCTTTAAATCTAGTTCCTAAGCTTAACAAAGTATCCTGTGTAGCCATATTCCACAAGAATACTAAAATATGGCCATATAAACTCACTGGATGATGTCCACCTGTATACGGTTTTGTTAATATCTTTTTTCATCGCTTTTTACTATCATCTCTGCTAAATCAATAAATGTTTTCTTTGACATGCGGAAAAGTTTAGAGAATTGAAAGTTATCATTGCTACAAAGCCTTGGTTCTATCATTAAACACTTTTTTTATGAAAAAAAAAGCATCTCTCCCATTAATATTATGAAAGGTTTTTTTTAAGCTTTCCATACATCGTTGTAGACGAAAAAGCACCGATTATTGAGTGATGATAAAAAGAATCAGAAATTATATACGCGTTTTTCTAAAATAAACAACAAAACCGCGGTTAAAACCATCTTGAACCATATTATAACCGCGGTACATATCATAGAAATTTTGGTTATTCGCTTGGATTTTGGCTTTTTAAGAAAGAAAACTTGTTTCTTATCTGTTTTATGAACCTGAAATTTCTTAAGATTCAAAAAGAAAACATAACCTTATAATAATAGAGTGCTGACATTGATCCGGAACAGTAGAAATCTGAAGAGAGAATACTATAACAATCAAGGAGGCCATAAAGGCGTCTTACAATTATAGGAACGACTGAGGTGTGCCAGGCGTGGCGATTTTTCGCCAACGCAGCGATTTGACGGCTTCAAATGGTGACTATACCCTATTTCACGAGTATCCATCACGCAGCTGAGTAGCAAGTTACATTTTTGTGTAATAGTCTGCGACGTTGGCCATGATGAATCGGGTGTAAATCTAGTAAAACGGGTATGTAGCGTTGTGCTTTTTGTATGCAAATGAAATTTTCTAAATAAACTGGCTGTTAGCAAGTACAAAATGAATCTGTAGCGAACAAAAAACCAAAACAAAATACGGCTCTGACTACCTGACGTTGACGGATCCCTCAGAATTATGTGTCCTGTGCTAATTTGGGGAATGTCGAGATATTACTAGATAATCAGCTGTCATTCTACCCTGATGGATACTCGTGAAATAAGGTTTAAAATTTATAGTTTGGCGACTGGCTACGTTAGTGACGCCCAGTATTCAGCAAATTTGCGATATCTGGCGATTTTTAACATTTTGTAATCAATTCTTGCTGATATGTGTATGGATTAATAAAACATGAAGCGAGGACCAGCGGAAGTTCTGTGCTCTAAGCACAACGGCGTTTATGGTCAAATGTCGTGTTCCAATCATATGAATGACAGCTCATCCTAACAGTTTTGACACAGTGTTGCTAAATACGATTATTGCACTTTCTGTACGCTAACTGGGAGAGAGAGTCACGCAGATCACTAGGACAAAGTAAATACTCTCTTCAATTTTCATTTGTCGATAACTCCCCCAACATCCCTCTTACACAGTTGTCGCAAGAACAGCCCCCTTCAAAGTTAAAGTATTGACCACTTCACCACCGCTCTTGTTATCATCAACTTCGATATGCTCATACATTACAACACTGATATTAATCAAATCAAGTGTTGTTTTGTGATATTGATATAAATGTATATATACGAGTCTGTCTTATATTTTCCCATTTTATAAATACATGTACCATATTTACATAAGGTATGTGTCGTGTGCCATTGTAAGTTGCTATATGATATTTATATTAAGCTGTAAACTGTGATTTATCATTTAATTGATGTAGATCAGTTATTAGTATTTGTGTATATCCATTGTTTAGTTCCAATTCGAATAAATATAATTTAATAAGACACTTTTAGTGCTTTGGGCCAAGGCGGTTTCTTGTCTGAAAATAAAAAAGTTCTAAACTCTTTTTACAGATAAACACGCTAATTCTTGAATATTACATATCTCAAGCACTATTATATCGATTTTGGTGAAATTTTTCATAATAACAATGTTACTGGCAGGACGGTTCAAAAACCCAGGGCCGGACTCGATTTTTTTCATGTTCTTATCAATATCGACACCTTTTTAGTTGAATAATAATATATTTGACTATGTACAAAAAGCCAGTGAATGGGTCTTGTCCATTAGCAAAATAGATTGGTTGTCCTTCTCTTGGTTTTTTAATTTTTTTTATTCAAATGTTTCTTTTCTATATGTTTATGTGACACAAAGTTAAAATCTTGCAAATGCTTCCAGCTTGATTTCATCAATATTGTACAAAATAGTGCTTAAAATTGATCAATATGTTTTGGGAAATCAAGATTCCATTCCATCCAAGTGAATTTAGAATTTTTGTATTTTCAGATATGAAAATGTATCAGTCCATACTACCTACCGTTCCACTATATCCATTTAAACACCCCAAATACCACTTCGTAATAATGGCTATGTTTACAACATACCTAGCCAGAGCAATAACAACAATTGATGTTGGTCAAACGCGCTCATCAAAATGGCGACAAATGCTCAAGCTCTATCATGAACTTATCATTAGGAAGAAATATTCTAACGATACTAACAACAAAATTTACTGTCCTCAAAGTTGTAGGGAAAAATCTCCTGACCTATTCGTTCCACGAAATGCTTGCATGTCATTCACCAACACGACGTATATATATATATATATAGGTGAAAATAAAGCTTCCGCCTTTAGTTGGGTACTTCGACAAAATTCAAGCAATGAGGACTCTATACTTTATTAGTCTCTAGCTTTCAATGGACTATGCCATCATCATCAGGAGCTGCAATAACATTGAGAAGAAATAGCAACTTTTTTTTTTTATACTCCAACTACCACGAAGGCCTAAGGCCTAAGCACCCATTGGGTACCGTGGGGATATAGGGGGATACATGGGAAGGGGGGACGCCACACGGACTCTGGCGAGGGAACACGTGTGCATGCAACATGCACACATTCTGGCTCCGCCTACGAGATCCGCCGGGTGGTACCTCCGCGTTCGACAGTCAGAGACCATCTACCACCTACGGATAGAAGGAAGGAACTATTGTGCAAAATGATTTTAAATTACTTACAATAGTATGCGAGATTGTTGCTAAATGTTATTAAAGGTTAAGTTGAGGGAAACATTCAGTAGCCTGGTGAAAGCTGGATCCATGGTACATTCGTCAAAATTAGTATAAAATACACACAGCTGTATCTCAGGAACAGATCAAAACGGATTAAAAATATTTTTATAAGGCTTATACTTATTCCTTAATTATTTAAGATTATTTGTTTTGTATGAGACATCGTACCTAATCAATAATCTTGGTTAAAGTATGCTACCCGCCCGCAATGTCTGACTTTTGTGATTATTGAAGCAGAACAAATTTTGTCTTACCCAATTTTATAAAAACTGATTAATCAAAATTCATCAAAAAATATAAAAAAAAACATTGTGGACTACAACATTAAAATGTTCATGGAACAACCTGTACCTTATTTATTCCAGTGTCTGCCGAAAGAGCGTATGCCAAAGCCACCATAGGGTGGCCTGAGGCGAGCTTCACAGCGCCATCCAGAAAAAGTTTGATACAACAAAAAAATATTACTGTAATAAAAGCACTTTTTAATAATTTGTTTTTAATGTCTTTTAATGCCGCACTAAAGTCCTTTCGAACGTATTAAAGAGTCGTCTTTAAGACGCACAGTTTTTGAAACAAACGTCGTCTTCGCAATGTCTTACAGCATTCACAAGACGTCTTTACGACGTCTCTGATATCTCAAAATGACGTCTTTAAAACGTCTTTAAGATATAGTTGTGCTATTTGGGCATTTGTGGTCTTAAGGCCCTATCGTCACTCGTTTCTACAATTGTAGGTCGGCTTTATGGCCTCTTTGATTTTAATAGTTTTATACTCTTCCGTGTCAGCCCTCTGTTTTGAGGTTATGTTACAAATATCCTGAATATAACCTGAAATTTCCTACAATTCAAGAAGAAAACTTAGCTTAGCAATAGGAGAGCGCTGACACTGACACGGATCAGTTAAAATCTAAAGCCTTTCTGAAGGAAAGAATAGGCTATGAAAATCAAGGAGGCATTAAAGGCGTCCTACAATAATTTTAGGAACGACTGACGATACGGTCCTCAGTTAATTAATAGTCAAATAATGTAAAAATGCAGCTTTATTCATAATAAACCAAATAATAGTAACAGTTGAAACGTTTAAAACAATAAAGATTATATGTATATCTAATAGTTGACCAAGAGTGTTAGCGATGCGCGCAATTCAAAGGAGGCACTTCTCTACATTTTATGTATATTTACACTGTATTTTCTCTTAACAACAGAAGTACAACTACAAGGGGTTTGTTCCATTTAACAATCAAACAAAACGTGAACATTGTTCGGTAAACACAAGACTGTTTCGTTTACTTACAGATGTTGGCCAATGAATCTCTTTTCTTTTTTTTGGTTGCTTGTTCGTCGACCAAGAAATAAGCGAAATTAGTTAATAATTCCGTACGCACTTTGAGCTTATATAAAAGGCTAAGGCTAGCCCTGCAGTCATGTGCCTTAGCAAAAATTTCTCATTTCCATTATTTTGCATAAATCACTTCCATTTAACGTCCTTCGAGATAATTTTCTGATAACGACTTTTATGACACAATTTATTCATTACAGATTCTCAAAATTTCTTATGCTTTATTTCTTGGATCGACAAGAAGGTAGAAGTAGTCCGAAATAGTATGGATCTTATATGGTTAAGGTAGGCTTTCATTAAGGCAATTGTATCTTTTCGTTCAATATCTCTTTATCTTTGCATGCATTATAGCACTTTTCCACAGGGTGTTTAGTGGTTTGTATAATCCTGCATCTCGTACAGACACTCAAAATCTCGTAGATGTACGAGACTTCTCGTACGTCTGGCAACCCTGGATCGTAGCGAGTACCAGTTACTGACATGTGCACTGTATCTGAGGTCATAGTACGAGACCTTTTCGCTTGAATCAGCAGGTATTTGTTTTTTTTATAAAACTTGATTTTTACGAATGATAAATAATAGTAGCAGTAGCAGTGTGTTACCTGCAGTTTCATCGGCCAGACTACTAAGAAAGCTTTTATATGGCGGATCTGTCAAATTACAGCGTTGCCAGATGAGTTGGACATAATTTTGCCGGAACAAGCACAAAAATCCCTACTTTCTCAAAAAAAATCCCCAAATCACAGTTGATCAGTGGGGTAGGTTTGGTTTAAAGAGCGGAGGATGCTTTTGATCCGCGAAACGTGTGACATTCTCCAAAACTTTATATCCACAAAAAATTCCACAAGTAGAAATCCCCGAAATTTGGGGCAAAATCCCTCAACATGGCAACCCTGTCAGAGCACCACTGGTACTCAAGGCATCAAGTTTCGGTGTGGTTTTTGTAGCATGACAACGTTGCCATAGTTTCTCTTGGTAAAAGGCTCCATGGTGTTCGTCAATCTTACCAAAAATCGGGTAAGTTGAAGAGCAAAAATGCAAAAACCGATAAATCCACTTTTTACGATTTTTGAGTTAGCCATGGAATTCGGTTAATTTCGATATGCTCTATCCGTTTTTGGATGCAGATATGAGCAAAATCCGCTAAATCCTCATGAAAAATGGAATATCAAAAAGTTTTAAATTTGACGGTGATTTTTCTCTAGAGGTATTTGCCGTTTTTCTCAGAACTACAAAAAAATGGATTTACCGGTTTCTGCTCTTCAGTTGGTGTCCCTGACAGTGGATCGACAACTTTTTGACAATACACGCCAGTATAAAATCAGTGGAGGCCTGTTTCGGTACAAAATTGTTGCAAAACATTGAGACTAACTTTGTTAAAGTATTATCGAAATTCCCATATCTTGGTTTCAAAGCCAGTTGCATGTTGCTCTTGAGTTATGAACAATGTTCAACGTCAAATTGATTTTATACTCAACATAATGATACTATTCACCTTTACAACATTCATATTTCTGCGACATTCTTGAAAGACCGGAATGTCAAATTTCAAAACATCGTTTTCCAAACCACACAAATAACCGAAGACTGGAAATAAAAATAAAGTAATCAAAATTAAGTATAAATTATACAGTAATTCTTTATATGTGAAAGCTCTCGTTCACGAAAGCCGTATAGTATTTTGCTTCGAACAATGTAACAGCGTGAGCACTTTTGGTAAAACGTACAACAAGACTTCACAGAAACTGCAAGTTTTTTAGTCCTAGTTGATTACATATCTATTATTTTACAACTAAAATTGCAGGGACCTTCGTTCTCAAGCAGATGTGCGTACAACATAAAGTAAAATTCTGAAGCATACAAAGCAATGAAATAACATACAAACTACGTATCTGACATTGACCTTGAATCTTCATCAGTCTCTAACTTATTTCTTCATAGAGAATATATGAATTATTTTTGACTGCAAACCCATCGAGTATATAGATCCAATAAGAAACGGAATGACAATATAATTTTAAAAAATCGTTTATTTAGAAAAGTGTATGGCATTTCAGTTTGAATCTGAGGCTTAATGCCTCCTTGTCTTACCATATATAGAAAGAAAGTAGATTCAGGTGTGCATCGACAGCGCTGCAAAACATTCACTTTTCCCGTAAATGTTGTGGCACTACGTCTGAAATTTTACCTTCACGATGCTCAACTGTTCAGTAGACTTTATGGATGATAAGGATAACAAAACATTTTTCCTTCTTTTTTCCCGAAGGTCCCCAGCTAAATAATTCTATTTTCAATAATCCTACACTTTATATTGTAACAAAGCATTATAATCGTTTCAGTCTATACTAAGATTTCATCATGGCAAGAGTGTGAAACCTATAAACTCAAAATGATAATATAATTGATATTTTTGTCTTATAACCTATAGTTATAAATACATACTAATAATGTTGCTCTGTGACAAACAAAATAAAACCTTCATTTAGTATTCATATAAATATCACTCTATATTTATTCCTAGTATGTTACATTATGCAGTTATTTAAAATAAATAAAACTATTTATAAAAACTTATCGCTATCATCACTTCTTCACAGATGCAACATTGCCAAGATAGGTGTGTGCTATGCAACATTCACTGCGATTAAAAAATCATTTCATGTCTTACTGCGTGAAAATAGGGATACCCTTAAGGTGGAGTTTTCAAATTAACAGTTCTCTTTCCATACATTATGTCACGTTTTTACAATTATCAGTTTTTAATTTTATTGCATTATCACAAAATTGGAAACAGAGGGAATCATTTAGGTGACAATACAATTAGGCTCATCATTAATGATGAAAAAGTAGTCGAATCATCCAAATATATGGGTATATATGTGGATAGTAAACTACAGCTTCAAGAGCGTTATTTCAAAAATATTAGAAAAGATAAATTACCTATAGGATTTCCCAGCACCTCAGTACGTATTAAAAAACTGTGTATATCACCATAATTCTTCTCCATTTTTATATTGTTCAACTATTTTGTTTAGAGCAAATGAAAATATATTTTCAAAATTACAAATTCTGCGAAATAAAGCTATGAGTATCATTTCAAATCAAAACAAAAATGCTAAGATTAAATCTATATTAGCAGAAAAGCAGTGGAATGTGAATTATTTTGTTATTTAGTTCTCATTTTCATATTCACATTAGAAGATTTACTTAGTACCTCCTCATATTGAAAAATTCACAAAATTAAGTAGTCATTATCATGTCTACGAAACTAGAGGCCGTATAGATGTTTATCCGCAAAATTGTAATAGTAACTTAACTAGCAAATCTGTACTTCAAAAGGGGATATTTGAATTTAATAGAATAGATTATGGTTTTAGACAGTGTTCGAATTTAACAAATTGCCTTATGTATACCCAAAATTCATAGCGATGTAATTTTAATAAAAGTTGACATTGTGTCATTAATGCCAAATAACTCTTCAACAAACAAAAAGTCTAAATCGTGAAATTTCTGGCGCATATTTATATAAGCTAGTCAGATAGGGGATGACTTACATACTTTACTGGTAACTTCTGACGATTTAGCTGAGCATCGGAAAAGAATGGTGTAGTTGAGCTCAAATAAATATCACCCCCTTGCGAATGCCGCTTATCAAAGGTTTTTTGTGTGTATACTATAAAAAAAGTTAAATCTATTTCAGATGAAAAAACAGGTTACTTAGATTTCCTTATATAAAATCCGGAATACGTTTTTAACATTGTATTGGAAAAAACCGCCAGATTTGTCTACGAGGATGGCATAACAAAATAGGTTGCAGTCTACAGTTAAAGCTGTGGTATTTCTTTAAGATAGATGTCTAAAAGCATATCTTTCCTTTCAACGCTTTCTGCTGTTCATATTTTGTGATTTTGCAATTTGCAGTCTTGCATAGTGACCACACCTACCCGTTAACATATAATAGCTATTGATATCTCAGTCAACTACGTAGTTTAAAAAATCACTGTACAGTATTTAAAACAAATATCACTAGTCGTTACCGATAACTGTTCATAAAATGGTAAACGACTAACTGTTTAATTGCACTACGATTTTTCTGAATTTGTATTACTTTTGATTTTTTATATCGGTCATTGTGTACGTGCAGGAATGCTTCGTGTGATTTTTTTTGTGATGATATATTTGCAAAAAACAAAACTTTTGTGGAATTAGTCTATTAGAATGGAATATATTTTATAATTCAGAAATAATCCCCTTTTATAAATTTTATCCGACCTTAACTTCCTATCGTGTGATTATATTTTGCATCGCCATACATTGTTGTAATCCCCTTTTTGTCGCAGTGACTGCTTCAAACCTCAGTCACTCACTATGAACTTCTTTTTACTGATATGCATTTTGTAGAATACTACAGGTGTGCCTCTACTTTTCTAAGAACCAAAAACAAACTGAACACTCTCACCTCGATCTGCGATAGGTACCTATGAATATGTAATTAATTTTTTGCAAATACTCATCACAATTGTCATAATATATACCTACTATTTATAGACGAAGATTCATTTTGCCTAGTATTGATTTAACTATATAAAAAAATAAATAATGTAATACTGCTCCAGGGGAATTCTTCGTGGCTGTCAAATACTTGTCAATAAAATGCATTCCTCCATTTACTAGTTCACCTAAAGATCTTAATACATTTCTCTATTTATGCTGGTCTGTAAACACTCGCATTGAAATGGTCTCATGTAAAGTCATTTTTTCAAAATTAGTCATAGTGTTGGTTGGCTTATCTCAAGGCGGAGTTTAGTACAGTATTGAAATTGGTGATCATACTTTTTCTAAGTACTCGTAACAGGTTTGTAATTGTATCCAAATATGCCCTTATTTTTAGTTTAAATTCCGTAATTGCTTGCTTTAATAATACCTAGATGTTACCAATCTGTATGGATAGTTTCTGAAAATTATAGACAACAGCGTTTAATTTTTTTCAGAACATAATGAAGTCGTGACAAAAGTTGTTAAAATTGATATCATAGTCCAAGAAATATGCTTGCATCTGATAGAAATAAGATTCTGATTCGGGTTTTTTGCATATTATTCAAAAAGGACCTCTTTGAACGGAGTGCTTATAAAAGAAAGACGTTAATGTAATTAATACTAAATTTATTGTATATAAGTTTTTAATTGCTCAAGTTTAATAAATCGGCGTTAAAGGGTTTTTTTATTGATTTTCTCTTAATATCGTATGTCCGTCCCTCATCATTGAAGGCTGATATCGAAAATTTGAGGCCAAATCCAGACCAACATATATAAAATCCTGCCAAAATCATTCCAAGAAGGAAAAATTAGTTTCAAAATGTTGGTCAGTGTAATTTAAAAACAAAGGTTTACAATAACAAAGCCTTCTCAGATGCTTTGGGATTTTATTAATGGATATTTAGGAATAATGACAACTTTGAAATTTTGTTTTTTTCATACTGTTTTTCGGGGTCGAAAATAACGCAGTTCGCACTTTTTAAAATATCGTGTCACCTATATGTCGAAAAGTATCAGCTTTAGAGTAAAATTTTAAGGCAAAATGTCTTCGAAAGTCTAAAAACACTGGAGCTGAAAAAACAATTATTGCATTTTGTTTGAAAACATTATTCAAAAATGTTATACTGCAAAGTTGGGCCTGGTTACATATATGTGTTAAAAGGGGCCTTTCTTAAAAGTGACTATGCAAGAAGTCCGACTAAGAATATTTGCTCCTCAGATGGAAAGATATCACCCGGACTAGATACCTAAACACATCTTCGTGATTCTATTTCTACTGTGAACGCTAAAACAATTCCACCTGATTGCTCCGAAATTGATACGATAACGACAAATGTCGAAATACAATTTTCGCATTTACTCTACAAAATACTTCAACACTAATCTTACTAACTTCATGAATACCCTTAACCTCGCACAGTACGACGTGCAAAGTACTTGATCACCATTTTAGTGTACAATTTTTCAAAGACCTTATACTTACGTAATTTTACCTTGAGGTAGCATCTTGCTACTCTTTCACATAATCGAGATGTAGACCATTTTGTTAATAATAATACATATCTGTATTGTAAATCACAGCTAATGTGAAGAGACCCACTGCTTTATTCTCAGACTAACTAAAAATATTACCAGAATAATTTGAGTCATACATTTCTATAACATCTAAAATGTACATCTGCTTACATGGAGCAAAAACACAAACAGAAAATCATGAGCTAAACACAAGTACTTGACAAGCAAATTGTAGTTTTACAGCCGTGTAAAGTATCTGATAAATAGTGGAATTTGGACGAAACGTTTTTTATACAAGGATAGAGATCATGCTCAAAATGAAAATAGGCCATGTTGTCCAGTAGCCGACACAGAACATAACTAGTGTCGATCATTTAACATTTCTCCTGCATTTTTTCATTGTCAGCTACAATAATGTCATATCCATTTTCACTGGAATAGAATCCTATTTGGTCACCAAGCAGTTAGTATCGAAACATTGAAGGTTGCTGCAAACTTTTAAATTAGCATCCTGTCCTAACCTTAGGCCTACTTTTCTTGCTTATCTCCTAATTTGGAAAATGTGCGCTAATTTAAGTTGTTTGCAGATTAATATCACTTAGAGCTTGCTCTTATTTTATAATGTGTGTCAGTAAACCGCGGTTCTTGGTTTTTTTAATGGTAGCGAAAAGAAAACATTTCATCTCACTTAGCTAATTGATAGTCTATTGATGTGATGTTCATTTTTAGAACAACTTCCGTACTTTGGATTTTAATAGCGACTTGGTGCAATCCTTAGAAACAATAACGGTATGTCATTTAAAGATTTTATTTTCATGCTAAATTACCAATTTAGCATTGCCTTTGCGAGGTTACTAGATCCGTAATGTTATATAAATTTATTTTTCTAAGGTGAAAGTAATCCCATGACACTTGTCTACGGAAATCAGAAAGCGAAACGGAAAAATTATTCACATACTTTCAAAAATTTGACACCTGACTTGGTGATAGCATCTATCATTTCTTCTCGAAGATGATATGTTTATTATAAAAAATCAAGCGACTATCAACTAGCTTGGAAAATTTAAATAGTACAGGCATGAAATTTTGATATTAAAAAAGCAATCTCCTTTGGCTTTTACAAAAATATTATTACAACTATAATTTCTTTTTCTATTCAGTTTTGTTTTCAAAATATCAAGTATGACTATCAATTTCTGTTATGTTGTATTGTTATGACAATTTGTACGCAGTGTTGTTTTGTTTACAGCATTTGGTTATGTACAGTGAATGTGTGCAAATCGTATAGCATTTCCAAAATATACTATCAATTTTTAATTCATTAAATAAAAATAATGACAATCAATTGCGATAAACTGATAAATTTGTAGCATTGTTTTATTATATATATATATATATAAATATATATATTGTCTGGAAATGATATTTTGAGATCACCTGTTCACACGCAGAAGGGAAAAATAATTGACAATGTTAAAGCAGCATCAGCATGATGATCTATCGAACATTAGATTTATAATTTATTTTCATGTAAACGTAAGCTTCATATTTTGGAAATACTATCACTGAGAATGCTGGAAAATCGAAATCAACTCTAAAAAGAACGCCAACATGGCAAACAATATTGTTTTACTAATATTGACTGCTTTTTCAAAGATCAGTACGTGTCTCGTGTCAATAAATGCATTATATACAAATTGTAATGGAAATAGCGTCTCAAGCATTTACACTTATCACACACAGGGTTGCGAACATATTTGCAACGTTGTATCTCAATATTGCCGAACGCGTCAGAATGAAACAGTAATAGTAATATCATCCTCGTATCTAACCGAAAGAATAAATGTTTATAAACGTTGAAAAATATTGAGTTGAGACAATGCTCCGTAGAACTCTGACGGGGCTACATGAAGACATCCAAGAATTCAAATATATTCTTAGCCTGCGTACTTGGCTATATTTAAGTATACAACCGTGAAACTTCCAAAAACCGGGTTCGTATATTTCACGAATTCATTGAGCACCTAAAGTTTTTAAAGCTAATTTCTTCTACTATTGCACAGTATTCTAGCGCAGTGTCCATTAGCACATATTGCTTTTAGCAGATTTGGCTACAGTGTTTATTATATCTAACAGCGTGAACTGTATAGTATTCGCAATTCCATCTGTATGGTTCAAGTCGTATAATATTGAAATCAATTTCATCTATGTGGCTAGTGGAATCATTAAATCGTTATAAGAATCAAGTTGAGACAGAAGTAAAATTGTTGTTCATATCAACAACTTTCATACACGGCGTATCATTCTTTTTTAAACAAGGATATCTGGAATTTCAACAATGTATAGACAAATTTCACAATGGGAATATACCTTTGAGGTACATAACAGAAGATTTGACGGTAAGAATTGACACAAGCGATCATTAATAGGATGCCCAACATGTATTTCTCGGATGGATCATGCTTTAGGGTGATTACAAACTCTCTTGTACATGATGGCCTACTGAAAAAATGCATTACAATTTTTATCAATATATTAGGCTATCGGTGTCACTATATAGTAATATACAATCATGGAGCCCGGTGTATTATCTAAATTTGTTGCTAAAATTAGTTCATTCCGGGCTTTCAAAGTTAGATACGTCTTTCATAATCATCATAACGTCTACATGATGAACATGTCCACTTCTCTATGTCTGAGCTTGAAAAGGTTTTTCATGCCCATATATCTGTTTAATATGAATCAAAGCTAAATACATATTTTAAAACATTTACCTCATTTTGTAAATTTATGAAGCCCATATGATTTAGTGCCAAGCTTCCAGATATGTTGCGAGAGTTCACGCCTACGTGAAGTTCACTGTATGTACTTCAGAATACGTGAATTGAACATAACAGAAGATTTGACGGTAAGAATTGACACAAGCGATCATTAACAGGATGTCCAACAGTTATTTCTCGGATGGATCATGCTTTAGGGTGATTACAAACTCTCTTGTACATGTTGGGCTACTAAAAAAATACGTTACAATTTTGATCAGTATATATGTATTAGGCTGTCGGTGTCGGTATATAGTAATACAGAATCATGGGTCCGTTGTACGCTCGTAATATATTGCTAAACGTAGTTAATTCAGGTAGAATCGTCTTTATAATCAAAATATATCTACACGAGAAGCATACTGTTCACATTACATCTGAATTAATTATTCCAGCTTATTTAACATCCCATCTATGTGTCTGCTGTCAGCTACTTACATCTGTTTTAAAACAGTTGTATTTTGGTTATTTTTACCTCTGTGTTAACATGTTTCTTTATACTTATTATAATATTATGAAGTCCACACCGTTTGCTGCGAAGTTTTTATGACAAGAATCCAGATATACTTCGAGAATATAGGTAAGGAATTGAACATTATAGAAGAATTGACACATTAATACGATGTCATTTTCTTAATGTGTCCTTTCTTAATAAAACAGCAGAACTGTTGATTTGATGAGATTGCGTATACTATACCGTCCATTCTTTTCGTAACATAGTCCACAATAATGGAAATGTCCTTGATCACAACAATAAAGGTGTGTTCACGCACTAGTTCTCGGCGCATCGGCGGTCCGACGATTGCTCTTGCGAGTGTTCCGCTTCCTCGCCGGCTCGCTCCGTTTCGTCCTCTTGGGCCGCGGTGCGGATCGCGAGGGCGGCTGTCGCAACTGCAAACGCGGGCGGTTGCCTGAAACAAACCAATCAATAAATCAGAAACTATACGGCGACCTTCCTTTTGTAGCCGACCAAGATTATCAATTTCTAAGTTCGTTGAAATAATTCTTCATGCCACCAACTGTTGTAAAAATTCGTTGTAGCCATAAAATAAAGATAAAAACTAAGGACAGAACAAACACTCAACATCTGCAAACACCCAGCGAACGCCAAGCCAAGAAGATAAGCCAAATTGATATTTTAGAGAAAATATGCAATAGAACTGGATGCAATAATGTTGGATCTTTCGAATAGACGGGACAAAAACATGGTTTGGCGATCTACTCTGTAACAAAATTTGTTTGCTATAATTATAATGAGCATAACCAAAGGAGCGCTGAGAAACTCAACGATTTGGTTACCAGATGTTAGAAGCTACCTCGGGCGCTGAATGGTAAAACTTCAGTGCTGTATCATGAAAAAGAGGAGACGAACAGCTAGGTTTTTAGCAGAATTTTGCCATAGCTGATATGTACAAGTGCGCCAGGCTGGATACGATTCTACCTTCTGTCGACGTACGCGTTATTTTCATCTCCAGCGTTTGCAGTCTTTGTTTCATTTTCCCCCATGAATCTGATCCCCATAAAAGAACAGGTAAGAAAGCCGTTTTATGTATCTTTATCTTGGTATCGAGTGATAGATAGCATGTTTTATTTAGAGCATAGTACAGTTCCGCAACAGCATTCATTCTTTCATATAGATTACTTTCCTGTCTTCCTTTAGAGTCTACTATGGTTTCTAGACATTTAAATTCACTTACGCATTCTAGTCTATGTTCTCCTACTAGTACGGCGGCATTGTCTTCATGTCTCGCTATTACCATTATTTCACTCTTATCTGTGTTTATTTTTATATTCCTGGCCGTGAGAGCTTGGACCCATATGGGTAGATTTGTTTGTAGATTTCTTTCACTATCAGCAAATATGGCTAGATCGTCTGCAAATCCTGAATCCCATATAATCACAAATAGCTCTAATAGTGTTTTCATGCATCTTGATCCCATTGTTTTAATCATCTCTGGCTTGATATTATCATGCCCTGCTGCTTTACCCATTTTCATCTTTTTGACTGCTCCTACTAGTTCCTCCATTTCTATCGTCTCTAAGTATGTTCCTGAATGTAGTGGATACTGGGATTGTTGATTCGATGGTTCATCATTAGTGTTAGTTAGTAACTGGTAAAAGTGTTCCTTCCATCTTTCTTTTATGTCTTTTTCTTCCGTTAGTGTATTTCCATCCTTTGGCTTAATGGCTACCGATCTTTGGTGTTTTCCTTTCCTGAGTTGCTATGCTGCTTCATGTCCCTTCCAAAATCCTCCCAGCATTTCCTCTTTGCTTCTATTATCAACTTTTTCCGTTTATTCCGGTGCATCTTATGTGCGTAGTCATAAAAAAGCTATCTTTTGCTAAGCGCATTCAAATTTCGGAAGAATTCATCGTTAGTTTTTCCCAAATTTTATTTCATTCAAATCCATTCAAATTATTGAAAATTGCAGGGTGTGCCCCGCGCAGGTGGAGATCCGGGACGCCTCCGAAGATAGGTGTTGCATAAACTTAAGGGAAGACTGTACGCTGACGACACTTCTTGAACTTGTACTCACTAAGTTTGTTTGTAATTTGGTTCTATCATCTACAAGGTGGATTTATGATACTTGTTTCCGATTAGCCAATGTTCGATGCAGTTTTACAAAAATGCTTTTTAAATGATCATTGCTGAGCCGGATTGATCCTCACAGTTAGTGGAAAAATATGTAGCTGAATCAGACGATTTAGAATGGGGATTGGAAGACCCCTTTTTACACAACTTGTACATTTTTTCGCTAGTTTGACTGATATTTTAGAATAATTCGACTGTATTCATTTGATCCATTACTACAAAGACCTTCTCGTTGGTCTACCATGATCCGGATCAAGATTTTAGATTTCGCGAATTAAAAGCAAAATCGGGCCTTAGAGGATCTATTAGAGACCTAAATCAAGAAAAGCACCTCACCTGCGTAGTCGTTCCGCCAGCGCCGAGCACTAGTGCGTGCTGTGCCGTCATTGGGGCGGTCCGTTTCCGGAACCCGCCCCGCTGCCTCCGGTCCTCTTGGTCGCCGCCTCCGCAGCCCGGAAGGCGGCATCAGATTTGCTTAAGGAGTTGATGTCGTCTTGGTGGTGGCGATCCCGGTGCGATCTGTCCGCGCCCGGCATGTCGTGGTGGCTGGCGAAGTTGCTCTCAGACTTCGGACGGGGCAGGTTCAGTTTTTGGAGGTTCCAGCCTGAAATGTATCGTATGTTGTAAGCTCGTACACCTTATTTTCGATATGACCATTATACATTGCGTTACAAATCGATTACAACCTTCAGAAAAAACTTTAAAGGGCAACCACATCCAGTATGTTGGAAAAAAATATTTTTCGGAAGAAATAATTTTCGTGGTTGGCGTTTTAACCACAGAACCATGCCCTAGGGTACATTTGAAAAAATTAAAATTGTCAATTGGGTGTAACATTTTTTTATTGCCCGCAAAAATGGTTAGTATTGCAATATACAATATTGGTTACAGGAGGAAAAAGAAGTGTGATTCAGTAATATTTTACATGGAATTCTATAAAACGAGAAAAACCAGCAGATTATCTTTTTTAAATAATTATAAATCTGGAAAGAAATTAGCTTAGTTCTGTAAAGCTTAATCCAGTCACACAACTGTTTCCTCAGTACCCGCGATCCAGTGCAAAACAACCTTGTCTTGGAGGTCCCTGACCAACATGGTGGTACCGTGGTGTGTGCACACGAGACGTAGTGGTGCAACCAGAAAGCTTATAAGGAATAAATTGTAGGACGTTTTGGCCTTATCACTTACCCAAATCGTTGAGACTGCCGCTGGTAGCCAGCCTAGCTACCGATTCGTCCGACATGTTGACATGATCCGCTTCCGCGGCGAGTGCGTTCACAACAGCGTTGATCGTTTTGCTTTCACTGCCGAGATCTTCCTCTCTGTGCGACAGCAGATTCGGGTTCTTGCCGATCTTGTTCAACCTGCCGGGAGGAAGGCTTGTATCAGGTTGTTATGGCGACAAGGGTTTGAAACAAGAAAAGCTAACTGATGTTATAATGTGATGTTATGAATGGAGTCAATGAACGTTGAATGAACTCATCCTGAGGCCGTCTCTCTGATCTTTTGTACTTCCACTTATAGATACATATGGGCCAAAGCTATTTCAAGAATCAACACGTCACTGAAATGTTTTAAGTTAACACCATATTATACAGGGTGACTTCGAAGTTGAGTCATTTATTTTAACAGTGAGTAGATCTGATTAAAAGAAATGTTTTTTTCCTTTAACATTTTTGTGGTAAAATTAAAGTAACCAAGTTATAGCCCTTTAGAAGTTTGAGTACCGCCCTGTCTCAATAATAATATTATGTGCTCGTGTTTGGCAACAACGGATATAATCCGCATTATCGGTTCATCGCATCGGAAACAAAAAAGCGAAAGAATTTGAAACGCTGATCACGATGTTTTTATTCAGTCAATGTGTCAGTCGGTAACGCGTGAGTGAATAGTGGTGTCTGTTGCGTGGCTCAAACGAAATAAAAACTGGCACATGTTTATGCGTATCGGTTTCCCAATCGAGTGCAACCAACCCCTCGTGCCTTTGTTAACTACTTGTACTACAACGGGCTCGTGAATCAGGTGACGTAAGACCTCACAGGGGAGGGCATGCCGGTGCTCCAAGACCCCACGATCAAATACAGGTCCGCACTGAAATACTTGTCAGGAGGATACTTTATAAAACAAGGTAACATTTTTTTTTTAGTTTTTTTTATTTTTACACACATATTTTGGTTTATCTTCCTTCTACAATCATTATCTGAAAATTAATGACTCAACTTCAAAGTCACCCTGTATACTGTTGGTGTTTACCTTTTTTGTCACTGACCTTTTTGTATCAGTATGAAAGATGCGATATTTAATTTTTGTTTTCATTTTAAATGATGATGTGTAATTGAATACGCCCCAAGCGAAAATTGGCAAAAGTCCAATTAGTCATTAATATATACAATAATAATAAGTAAACGACACACTGCGGATTTTAGGAACTTCCCTAAGGGCATTAAAATTCTTGTGCAATGAAGTCACACTTGATCATTGGAAATCAAATAATATTATTTCTTATGGCCGGACTGGTTGATTTATGTATGCTTAAGGTGACCAACTAGCGTACACTTGATGGGTCTTTGATCCTTTACAACTAAGGGGCCGTTCAAGTATTACGTAAGCATATTTATTACAATTATTTACCCCCCATCCCCCTTGTCAGCAAAAGTAAGCAAAGCTCTTACCCCCTCCCCCCATGCTTACGTAAGCATTTGTCAATTAATGTATTGTTTTATTTTTAATATTATAATTATAACGTTATAAAGTAAATAACTACCGATGACTTAATCATCATCTAGACTCCCCTACCCCCCATGTCATCTAAAATAAGCACAGCAAAGACCCCTCCTCCCCGCCATAGTGCTCACGTAATACCTGAACGGCCCCTAAGGCCATTCCTTCATTACCGCAAGTATAGTTTTTGAAAACTTATTCTGTTAATGTATTCAAAAACATCTCCGCTGTTTATGACCATAGGATATTTTACTTTTTCAATTAAACGCTATGTATAGAAATAAAAATTTGACTCAATTGCGATGCATACTGATATGTTTAAAGCTGAAAATGGATAGGCTAGTCCTAAAAAGATGATATCTTTTGCAGTGGGCTACACAACCAGAACATATCCTAGCACTGCGTGTACAGTGTTGGTGTTGTTTTATTAAATAGTACGTGTGTATGTGTGCTTAGGTATTTCTCCCATTCACTGTGTGTCTCTGTGTCTTATGTATATGTGTGTGTATAAAAGTAACCATACTATACCATTTCAGAACAGATCAGAACAAACAGATTCAATTTATGTTTTTATAGTAGTCACAGGTCTTTTTTATTTTACTTTATAATCACCCGTTTTTAGGAAGGTGGATGTCTGAATACGCTATGCAATACTCACTTTATTGAAATGAAGAAGCAGGATAAGCACAATACACAGGTTTATGTACAAATATTCTTCCATAGCGTTTTTCAAATAAAATAAAACAGTGTCTTACTATTGCTGAATAGTGCTGCTGAAAGTGTATCTAAGTAGTTTATCAGCACTCTGTGTATTTATGTCAATATTATTTTGTCGAATAGCCTACATACAGGGTGATTCACAAGTCGTGACCAAAAATGAAACATCATACACAATACCGCATTTGAAGGGGGGTTTTCCATGTAACATTTTTTTCCTCGAGCGTTTCTTTAAAAAGATATAGGGTGTTGAAGTTTGAAAATAAAAACACATTTTTTTACCAAAAATTAACGTGCACCATTGGCGGAGTTACAGAGGTTAGTGACACTACTTTTCCAAATAAAAATATTTGTGAGTGGCTACTGCAAATGCATAATCAAAACGTTGATTTGGTTTTGTGGTCGGAAGAATTGCTTTTTACGAGGAGCGGTACCTTTAACTCTCATAATGAACATATTTGAAGGGTACCGTTGAATAACGATAATAGTCCGTCCGGACTGACTTTGAGAAAATCGGTAATTAAGATTTACTTACTTGTTGGAAAGTAAAATTGATGAAAAAATAAGTCGTAAACAATATCCTTGCTAAACAGTGTGTTTATTGGTAAAATAGATTTTACAAAATGAACTTTTACTCAAAACTAGTAACGTAACAAACAAAAGATGATGTTCAACTCTGGACTCGTGCCACTGTTCCCCTGCTTTAAGCGTCTATTGGCGGGTCATCGGCATATTCATCAATTCTGTCTTCTGGATAATCAAGAGATATTAACTGATGATAAAATGCCCTGGAATCTGCTCTATCTAGAAATTTGTCAGATCCTGCAGATCTTTCCATTTCTTACTTTTAATTGGGATTGGGCACTGGTAAAGTTTTCTCAATGTCTCCACTTTTTGTTGATCTTTTTGCGTCTTTTTTAGATTCTTCCGAATTACCTTATCAAATTTAGAACTATACTAAGTGACATATAAATCCGAACACCCAGTTTAAATGGTTTTATTTTAATAAAAGTTGGTGAATGTATTTATCTTACTGTAAATAACAAGTGAAAAAAGCCTTATCAGTTGGACATTCCGGTTTTTATACTGCTTTTTTTTAATTCACTAACACTCTAAAAATGAATATTTCAGCCGCAGTAAAGAATCAACGTTGGCGGATTTTGGTTCTTGACATCCTTTACGATCGGTTACGATGCCTAGAGTACGGAGACCTGTACGATTTCGTCAACTTAGTGAGTTTGGTAGGGGCCGTATAGTGGGACTTCGGGAAGCTGGACTTTCTTTTCGGGCAATTGCAGTTAGAGTGCAAAGAAGTGTAGACACTGTGGTTAGGTGTTGTCAGGCATGGCTTCGAGAATGCCGTACGCAAAGAGCAAGGGGCACTGGACGCCGCCGTAGAACAACAGACGTAATCGCCTTGAGTGGTGCAGACAACGGTCACTCTGGGATCAGGAATGGAACAGTATTGTCTTTAGCGACGAGTCTCGATTTTGTTTAGGCATGCACGATGGTCGTGCCAGGGTTAGAAGGCGACGTGGTGAAAGGAGGAATCCACAGTTTTTTGTTGAAAGACATGTTCATCACACTGTTGGAGTTATGGTTTGGGGTGCTATAGCTTATGGTTCCAGGTCACCTTTAATCTTCATCAGAGGTAACATGAACGCGCAGTGTTATATCCACGAAGTTCTAGAACCCCATCTTTTACCCTATCTTGACACCCTGGCAGATCCAACTTTCCAACAAGATAATACCCGACCACATGTTGCAAGAGTCACAATAGACTTCTTCCAACATAATGATGTCACATTGTTACCATGGCCACCAAGATCTCCCGACTTATCCCCAATTGAGCTCGTGTGGGATATGACGGGTAGGAGATTGCTCAATTTGCAACGTCCTCCTCAGACTCTAGAAGCACTTCGAGAGGAGTTGGTGGTTGCCTGGAATGAGATACCACAGGAGGACATTGACCACCTGATCAGATGCATGCCTAGGCGCGTTGGAGAATGCGTAGCACATCAGGGTGCATCCACACATTATTAAAGGTTAAAGGGCTTTAAAGCAGTGCAATCATTTTGAAATTTTTATCATTTACTTATTATGCTCCATTAAGTACTTATACAAAATTTTATTAAAATAAAACCATTTAAACTGGGTGTTCGGATTTATATGTCACTTAGTATAGTATATAGATCCATGTGTGTCGATTCATGAAAAACTACGCGAGGACTCTGTATACAATTCTCGAGCATCCTGACTGGTCGGGTTGGAAAGGGGCACTTCGTTGGATAAAACTGCGATAAAAACGTACTCCAATCTTGAAAATCTAAATGTTTGCCACAATCAATGACTAGAAATAGTGTAGGTTTCACACGGCAATTTTTCAATTCATCTCCCAGTCATCCGGTACCTCAATGTATGCTCTTTGGTTCACGAGACTCATATCTCTATCACACTCGAGGTATGAATGCCCCCTGATCGGGAATATTACTTTCACAGTAGTAACACGATTTTTCTTGGTAACCAAGTAATGCAAAAAACGAATAACTGTAAAGTTTTTATTTTGCTGTTGTTTTACGAACTTTTTTACAATTTAACAAGCTGATTATAAGATAGCATCATTAAAATGCCACCAAAATAAACTGAAAGCTCTATTCTGCCAAATAATGGACTAATGCCGTTTTTTCCCGGTACCCTCCATTTGGTAGTTAGAAAATGTTCGTTCTGTAAGAATCCACTCGTTTTAACACAGATTTTCTAGAAATATCTGGTGCGGCATTTTAAATGGCAAACTGTTTACGCACGTATTGCCACAACGTTTGAATGCAAACTCATACTTAGCTTGTCTAGAGAATTACATAGAAAATATGTTAGATGATGTTCCGTTAAAAACGAATGCGGTATCAGCACGTGCCCACCGCATGTT